TCTATAAATGTCATTTGGGAGGGATCAACTACTAGAGAATTCGTTCCCACTTGTGGAATTGGGCAGGGAAACCCACTCTCTCCGTACCTTTTCATTTTGTGCATTGAAAGATTAGCACATTTGATCATGCATGTTGTGAACGAGAATCAGTGGAAGCCTGTGATCCTAAAAAAGAAAGCATTCCCATTAGCCATTTATTTTTTGCTGACAATCTTCTTCTTTTTGTAGAACCTTCTTTAGACCAAGCAACTCTAATTGGCAAGATCCTAACCTATTTCTGCCAAGCATCTGGTCAGAAGATCAGTAATGAGAAGATGAGAGTTTTCTTTTCGAAAAATGTTAATCACTTGAGAGCCTCAGAAATATCAAATGGCATGGGGTTTCTATAACCTCTGATTTAGGGAAATACTTAGGTGTCCCCCTACTGCATGGACGTGCTAATGCTACTTGTTTCAGTTATATTCTTCAAAAAATGGACTTGAAGTTATCTAACTGGAAAAAAAGATCTTTATCTATTGTTGTTCGCTTAACTCTCGTTCATTCTGTCTTAGCTTCGATACCTACATATACTATGTTGTTATGCCTTCTCCATATCAAGACGTGTGATGAGATTGAAAGCTCTCTCGAGATTTCTTATGGGGATCATTAGGTGGCTCAAGGAAAATTCATACATTTGATTGGAACCAAATATGTCAAAGTAAATATAAATGAGGGCTCAGATGCAGGAGTATGAGAGGCATGAATCAGGCTTTGTTGATGAAGGTGCGCTATGGGATTCTAACCCAAACATTCCTTGTGGGTTCAAGTGTTAAGGAATAAATATGACGTGGGGAATGACTTGATTCATTCTCTTAAACAAACCCAGCTGGCTTCCAACCTTTGGAGAGAAATTCTTACAGTCTGGCCTAAGGTAATATCGGGTTCCAAAGTATAACTTGAAAATGGTAAGAACACTAGCTTTTGGAGAGATCGTTGGCTTAATAATGGTATTGGTGTCCAACTGCAAGACCTACTCACAACACCAGCAGAGATCATGGATTGGACTGTTGATAATTTGTTGGGAATGTTGGTGGCTGGAATTGGAATCTAATTAACCAATTCGTATCTAGTCACTCTTGTGAAGCTATAGCCAATATAATGCCACCATACTCCCATAATGATGATGATTTAGTTACATGGGGTGAAACCAGCAATGGCTTATTCTCAGTTAAGTCCACTTTTTGCCTTCTGCAAGTCTCTAACACTCAGGGAGGGACTGATGTTGCCAGATCGTGGAAACGGAAGGACCTACATGTATCAAAAATTTCCCCTTGAAGGTTTTGGGTGACCACCTCCTCACCAACGTGGCCAGAGCTCAGAGACATCTAACTACTTGCACATTGTGTCCCAGGTGCAACTCTGCCCCATAAGATTTGGTTTATGATCTAAAAGATTACATGTGAAGCCAAGAAGTTTGGATACATGTCTTACACCAGAACACCAAACCTAACTTTTTCGAGAATAGCCTCCAAGATTGGGTTCTGACTAATATTAGCTCGAAAGTCATCTTATATGCTCTTTGGGAATGAGATCTGTTATTTGGTGTTACGACTTGATACATCTTGAAAGCTAGGAATTATTTCGTCTTTAATTAGAAAATTTACAATCAAGAATCAGTGATCAGAAAAGCCAAAATTTATATAGCTAACTTTAGAGACATGGGGCTTAAAATGAGAGTTAGTGTTATTCCTACACATGAGAGGGTGGAACACTTTGTTTGATGGTAATTCCCAACTTACGGGAGGTTTAAACTTAACGTAGGTGGTTCTAGCAGTGGAGGAGGAACTCATTCTAGGTGTGGAGGGTTTATGAGATATGATACTGGTAGATGGATCATTGGCTTCAGCAAAAATCTAGGTAGTGGCTCAGCTCTAAGAGCAGAAGTTTGGGGTCTCCTCAATGGCATTCAAATAGCTTAGAACTTGGGACTCATAAGAGTTTGGATTGAAGGGGATTTCCAAGTTGGCATTCATCTCATCCGAGAGAACTGCAGTGAGCACCACCCAATAGCTCCCTTTATTAATCAGATTCATTCATTGCTGCATAAGGAATGGATGACCAAGATCAACCACACCTATAGAGAAGGTAATATGGTAGCAAACATGCGGGCTTCCTATGGCAGCAAATGGACGGACTGGAGCGTACACATCCTTCAGGAACCACCACCTAAGTGTAGGAATCTCTTAAATAGGGATTTGATGGGTGTTGTTTACCCAAGATTATGTAACATGTCTTAATTTCTTTCCCTCATTTTCAAAAAAAATTAGTGGTAGTCAGCAGAAAACAATATGTCAAAAATACTTAAGGGGGTGTTTGGTTCAAGTTATTCAAATATTTTCCTATGCATCTGACTTTGGCAAAGTGTGTAGTCCATGTTTGGTAGAGAGATTTGAAATATTTCCCCAGCTACCATATTTTGCATAGCGTTTGTGAAATGCTTGTAAAACTGAAGTAGAAGTCACTGTTTGAAAAGATGACTTGGAGGTGGTATTTGTAGTTAACCGGCTAAATGGCAAGAAGGGCAAGCAAATGCAGACCAAAATACCCTCATCTAACCTAAATAGCGCGAAGAAAGATAAATTTGCTTAGCAGCACCCCTGAGTACATATCTGCAACCGCTCATCTTCCATTTTTAGGCATGGAGAAATTTGTGGTGTATTGGTTCAGATCATGATGAACAACAGTTTGTGTTTGAAATCTTTTGTTTGTTAGTATGGTAATTGTAATACGTTTCATTTCCTCTGGTGTTTCAACTTGTACATGTTTTGATACAGTTCCTAGTTGGACGTATTCATCGTCTTCTGAAGTCAAGGGTGACCATTAGTGGAAGAGTTAGGGCCACAACTACAGTATATTCTGCTGCTATCTTGGATAGAGAAATATTAGAATGGTTTAAGAGAAGAAAAACTTATGTTTGGGTACACTGGATGCGTTATTTTGAGCAAGTCTAAAATAGGGGTTGTTCATTGTGTTTGGGATATCCATTGGTAATAGGAAACAAAGTAAAAAGAATCGAAAATCAAATTAACTGTTCGAGCCTAGCTGGGTGGTGGGTACATTCGAGCCTAGCTAGATGATTTGGATTAGTTTATTTTTAAAACTCCTTAAAAGGGCTTTTGAAAAAGAAATCATTATTTTTCAGAAAAAAAAAAGTTGAAATAAACCTGCATATATTCAAAACATCCTCACAAAATGTGGCTACAATCTGAATCATGAACCTTGATAATGTCTAACGATGGAAACACTAATGACAAAGACAGAGATATGGAAGGTAAGAGGAATATTGACGTTGGCACAACTGATATCGAACGACACCCTAACCATTATTTTATTTAAGCCAGTGGCGGAGCCAGCATGACATGTTAGCAAGTGCCAAAAAATTCAGGTAGTGCCCAAATGGCTACGGTTCTATGGCTACGAACAAAACGTGGCTAATTTTCAAAAAAATTTAAACAGGATTTGCTACGTTTTAAGTGTAGCTAAATGAACGTGGCTAAATAAGCCAGTGCCAAGGCAACGACTGGCTACAACGTGGCTCCACCACTGATTTAAGCGATACTTGTTCTCATTCAAATATAGTAAGGGTTATTTTGTAATTTCATTCTCTTTTTCCATCAAAATTTTATCTTCAACCAAGCATAGACTTAATATATTTAACCCAATTTTTTGGGTAAAATTTCGTCCAACCAAAACTTTTTTTTAACTTTTCTACCTAACTTACTTCCCCACCATATTCAGTGGCGTAGCCACTTAGTCGCAAGATGGGGCCCGGGCCCCTGCTTACTTTAAAAAAAAAAAATTATTATATATATTTATATAATTAATTATTATTTAATCCCTTTTAAAAGTTAAATTTTGGCCCCTTCTTGGAAACCCCAGCGCAGCGTCTTCGTGTTCTCGCCATTGTCCAGACTCCAGAGCTCTACTCATCCTCCAAAGAATCTGTCTTGAAGGATTTCCAAATGAAGAGCTCTCAAGGTATATAGCAAAATCCTTTTTTTTTTTGCTTTTCTATTCTATGTTGTCATTATGTTGATTTTCTTCACCAAAAATGTAGTTTTTCTCTCTGTATGTATTATGTATAGTGTCTTTAGCATGTTTATTTGATGTTAACATGGTTGAAAATAGTGCACCACAAGTCCACAACGACAAGATTGTGTAAACAAGTAAAACATGAGGTTTTCCTTGTTCACTGCAAGCCATTATTAAGTTATTCAATCAAACATCCATGTGCACACCCATTGCAAACCCTTTGCGACTTTTGTTGATAATCCAGGTTTGATTTGGGGTGAAAGGTGTGGGTGGGTTATACTTTAACAGTTGCCACCAATTTGGGGTGATTATTTTTATTATCAGTTTGGTTACCATTAGACTAGTTTTAAGTCAACAGTTACAGAATGAATATAAGGTGATAAAATAGGTAGAGGTAGATTTAGGATTGATCTATGGTAACCCAAAATTGATGGTAAATATAATTGCCCCATATTTAAATCAGAGTTCTTAAGGCCAATCCTGTTGAGGACAAAAGATATAACCACTTAAATAGAATTTCTTGTTCTATAATTTTCTAATATACAACCTAGAATTTCATGTTTTATGGGATGCATTTTGATAAGTGTTTTAATTTCTTGTTATAATATACACCCATTTCATGTTTTAATTCTGCCTTTGACTTCTTTTGAAGATTATCTCAGGCTTGCAGAATTTTAATAATGCCATGTGCTTATAGGGGGGAGCAACTCACGTGGACATAGCATGTGACCCAGATTTGGTGAAGCTAGCTATCGGCTTAACTTCTTATCCGATATATTTATACTCTTCCAGATTTCTTAACCACTCTCTTTAGATGGAGCAACTTTCCTTATTTTTTTCATATTGAGCTTAAGAGTTATGACTTAATTATTATCACAATGACTTTTACAAAATGTCTAACTACAAATTAACATGTAGGTTGAAAAAGTATGGGCAAGGATAAACAGAAAAGTATAAATGTATTCTTTAAAAAGAAAGTAGTCTCTGAAAGTAAATCAAGTGATGCTCCTACAAACATAATTTCTGAAAGTGATGCACCTTCTCATGAGCAACCTCCTTCCAAGTGTCGCAGAATTGAACATACTGATGACATTATTACAGTGAGAAATAAATTTTTTGAACGTGATCCAGGCAAACGTAAGCCAATTTGGGAGTATTCAGCTAATGAAGTCGATGAGATACGGAGAGCTTATTTAATGGTTGGGCCATATCAACCTCAATGCTCCTACCCATTTTCAAAGGAAAAGCATCCTCGACGTTTTCAAGCTTCATGGTTCAAAGATTTTTCTTCGTGGCTTGAGTATTCACCTTCTATAGATGCTGCATTTTGTTTACCGTGTTATCTTTTCACTACAAAGGCCGGTGGGCGACATGGTTGGGATGCATTCACAATCAAAGGTTTTAATACTTGGAAAAAAGTTCATGGTGGAAAGAATTGTGCTTTTCTAAGTCACATGGGAGATGATCCTTGTTCACTACATACTAATGCACTTGTCTCATGTGTAGATTTAATGAATCAGTCTTGCCATATTGATAAAGTTATGCATGCTCAAAGCTCCCAACAAATTGAAAAAAATAGGTTGCGTGTTAAGACTTCAATTGATGTTGCCCGTTGGCTTGCTTTTCAAGGATGTGCTTTTAGAGGGCATGATGAGACTATTAATTCAAGAAATAGTGGTAATTTTATTGAAATGATCAAACTTTTGGCATCTTACAATGAAAATGTCGCAGATGTTGTTCTAATGAATGCTCCATTGACAGCCAAATATACTTCACCTCAAATACAAAAGGAGATTTTATATGTTCTCGCAAACAAAGTGCGAAAACAGATTTGCAAAGATATTGGGGACTCTAAGTTTTGTATTATTGTGGATGAAGCACGTGATGAATCCAAAAGGGAACAAATGGCTCTTGTCTTGAGATTTGTTGACAAAGATGGTTTCATTAAAGAGAGATTTTTTGATCTTTATCACGTTCAAGATACATCTTCTATGACACTTAAAAATGCTATTAGTGAAATACTCTCGCATCATTGTCTTGATATTCAGAATATCCGTGGCCAAGGATATGATGGTGCTAGTAACATGCGTGGTGAATGGAATGGATTGCAAGCATTATTTCTTAAAGAATGTCCTTGTGCTTATTATGTGCATTGTTTTGCTCATCGATTACAATTAGCCTTGATTGCTGCCTCTAAGGAAGTTTCTTCTGTTTATCAATTCTTTCAGAATTTGAATTTCATCATTAATATTATCAATGCTTCTTCTAAGCGTCATGATCAATTCCAAGCTGCCCAAATTTCTGAATTTGAACGTTTGCAGGCTATTGGTGAGCTCGAAACTGGGACAGGTTCTAACCAAGTAGGTACACTAAAGAGGGCTAGTGATACTAGATGGGGTTCTCATTTTTATTCTATATGTAGTCTTCAACGAGGGTATAATGAATCGTGTTCAGTCCTTGAAAAAATTCGTAGTGAAGGCTCAAATTACTCTCAAAGAGGAGATGCTACTGCAACTTATAAGATGATCACTTCTTTTGAGTTTATCTTTAATTTACTTTTGATGAAGGAGATCATGGGCATCACTGAAATTCTTTGTCAAGCATTACAACAAAAATCTCAAGATATTTTGAATGCTATACAATTAGTTTCAAGTACAAAGGAACTTATTCAAGAATTACGAGATGATGGTTGGAAAAGAATACTTGAAAGTGTTGTGAATTTCTCCAAGCTTCATGAAATAGATGTTCCAGATCTTGATACTCAATATATTGAAGGTCGTGGTCGTCGACAGCATGATCAAATAACTATTGAGCATCACTATCACTTTGATATATTTAATTCAACCATTGACTTTCAATTACAAGAGTTAGATAGAAGATTTAATGAGCAAACAATGGAACTTTTATCACTTAGCTCTTCATTAGATCCGAAGAATGGTTACAAAGCATTTAATGTTGATGATATTTGCAGCCTTGCAGAGAAATACTATCCTCTTGATTTTTCTGAGCAAGAGAGAATTATTTTGAATTGTCAATTGAAGCATTTTCACAAGGACATCCCAAAACATTCAGAACTTCAAAACTTATCTTCAATTTCTGAGTTGTGTCAAGGATTAGCTAAGACAGGAAAGTCAAATTCCTATCATTTGGTGGATAGGCTAATTCGTCTTATCTTAACACTACCAGTTTCAACAGCAAGTGGTGAACGTGTATTCTCAGCAATGAAAATTGTGAAAACAAGGCTTCGAAACAAAATGGATGATGACTTTCTTGCAAATAATTTGGTTTTGTATATTGAAAGAGAGATTGCTGAAACTTTTACTACAGATTCTATTCTTGAAGATTTCGTCAGTTTAAAAGAGCGTCGTTTACAATTTTAGGTATGCATTTATTTTATTACATTTTAAATTACTTATTAAATGTTGTTATAATATTTGTGTGTATTTATATCCTTAGGACAATGCTTGTTCATTACTTATTATGCTGTGGAAGAAAAGTGTGATTCTTTTGTTTGGAATGCTTGCCGGAAAGGTTAGTTTTTTTTTTATCTTTGCTTTGATATATAATAGTCGTCTATTGTTTATTTGAATTTTCAATATTATGTGACATTATTTAGTAAATAATTTAGATAAACATGCTAGAATTCATGGTAAATTTTTTTCCTAATAAATTTGTGTAATTACGATAAATGTTTTGATAATTTGATGTGTCAAATTTTTTGGCCCCAGCTAAAATGAAACCCTGGCTCCGCCACTGACCATATTCCTAGTAATTCTATTTCTTCAGTAAAAAAAATTGTCCAAAACCAAACGCGCCCTATGAGAAATTTGAGACACCAAATTAAATATAGGAAGGTTCTGTATTTTGAACAAACACTATACCGGTTAAACATATAGTAAGCTCTATTCACATATATAAGAGCTTGCAAATAAGTATTTAACTTTATGCAGGATCGGAAGTCAACTTATGTTTCTATTGGACAAAAATCAGAGATCCATCAGTTATATTAACCCCAAAAGTTCTTGGCTTCTAATAAAAAAGAAAACTACCTCAGTGAAGCCTGCACCCAAAAATAGGTTTCAGACAGTATCCAAACAAAAGAAATATGATCGTGTTCCATCTATTTAGCAGATTAAAAAAATACCACGAGAGGACTAGGATGAAAAAAATACCACAAGGGTAAAATAGTTAAGTTCATTTAATTACTAACAGTGTTAAATACTTAAATGTGATCTTGGATAAAAAAAATATCACAGGGGGTCATTGATAAGAAATAAAACATAATAATAGCTTACCAAAATAAAAATAAAAATAATGAGTGTAAGTGATAAAAGAGTAAACAATACGAGAGTTTATGAACTTTTCCTTTTGTTTTATTAAACAAACAAGCTTAATTAAAACTTTAGACTTGTGACTTGATTACATAAATGTGTTAAACACAAGTTATATAAACTTAACATTAAAAATTTATAAATAATTCGAATGAATGTGTATATAAATAAGAAAACAAAAAGAGTAAAGATAATAATAATTCATATATTTTCATTATTCAATAAATTATAATCGCATATAAAGAATTATAATTACCAAACTTTTATGTTCAAATATTTTTTTATTCTTGTTTTCTTACTTTTAATTATATTCTAACATGATGTTTTGTAAATATTAAATTAATAAATTTAAAAATACATCAAGAAAAGATTTCATAAAAGAACGCAAAATAGTTAAGTTAAACAAACTGGCAATTTTTTTTAATTAATTGCATTTTAAATAAAAAAATTATGAATTTATTGTTGTTTTAAAACTATTTACGCGTGTATTGCAGTGTGTCACGCTTGGATTGGGTGTCACCAGTCACGCCTAAGTTAGGCGTCACTCATATGGTGTTGACACGTATCACAAAAAATTAACAAATTAACGTAAAACATCGAAAGACCATAACTTTTGACTCGGGTATCCGAATCAGGTAATTTTTTTTATTTCACATAACTTTTCGAGATCTATGCAATGACACCTCATTTGACATATTTTATCTCACACAAAAACAATTCGAATTTGCAACAATGGTACTATAAGAGCATTTAAACCCAGAAGCCTCCGAGTTATTTTGGAACCACCAAACACAATCTTCTTTTTAAAAAGAGTAAATATCTTTTTTCGTCCTCAAGAAAAAACACAGGGTCCATTTTAAGGGAAATGATATTGTAATTACCAATTAGTGTTACTATCAATCATTTTCACCATTAGATCGATTATATCCATCCAACGATTATATTTATTTTTATCTTTGTATGGTTATGATTCTCATATTTAATACTTTATATTTATTTCCACCTTCGTATGGTTATGATTTCCCATATATAATGCTTTCACATTAAATATGGAGAATCATAACCTTACAAAGATGGAAATAAGTATAACCGTTGGATCAACATAATTTATCTAACAGTGAAATTGATTGGTAGTAACACTAATTGGTAGTTCCACATAATTTTTCGATATCTACGCACTGGAAAATTTTCGGAGAATTATTTCTTAATGCTGGGAAGTAAAAATTTAAATACCATCACTCACAAAGATGTAATATGCCAAAGGGGCATCCAATTGCAGGCTTTTCATGAAACATGCTTTGATAAGAGGATTATAGGTGCTATATATGTTTGTAATAATGCATAAGAACATATTTTTAATGCAATATATCAAAATTTTGTATTTTTTAATGCAACTTAAAGAACATTATATTCTCACCAATCTCTCTCACACTTTTATATTGTGGCACTTTCTTTTCTCACAATATTATACACTATTTTTTTCAAACATTTGGTAGAGAATACATATTTTACTATGACATTAAGTATTCTTATTTATAGATGGACTAATCCACTTTGGTGCCATAATTAATTTCAGACCACGACTTACAAGATAAAGTCTCATTATTGCAAATTCAAATTGTGTTTGTGAGAGATAAAATATACCAAATGAGGTGTCATTGTGTGAATCTCGAAAAGTTATGTGCAATTAAAAAAAGAATTACCTGATTTGGATACCCGAGTCAAAAGTTATGGCCTTTAGAAGTTTTGCGGTTAAAATGTTAATTTTTTGTGACACATGTCAATACCATATAAGTGACGCCTAACTTATGCGTGACTACCTTATGGGTGACGCCTAACTTAGACGTGACTGGTGACGCCCAATTCGGGACACGCATAAATAGTTTCAAAACAACAATAAATTCATAATTTTTTATTTAAAATGCAATTAATTAATTTTTTTTGTCTAAACAAACTAGGTTCAAACTCTATATTTTTTAATAAGTCAAACTCAATTTTTAAATCTAGTTCATTAAAATAAATAAATTAAACTTAAATATAATCTCTTTTTTTATAAATCAGAAGAATAAATTTGTAATATTTAGAGCCCGTTTGAATGATTTTTTTTCTTCTCCATCATTGTCATTGCCACCTTGCAGTTGCCATCATCGTATCACTATTGCTATTATCGCTACCGCCACTGCTACTACCAAATTTGCTCCCATAATTTATTTTCACAAGTCCTTTTTAATCAATTTTGTATTAATTTTTTTTAATTTTAACATTCAATTAACATATTTGATTAAAAGTATTTTTCACGAATTACACCTAAATATAAAAGAGTTATAATTTTTGAAAAAAGTCTTCTAAATTAAATAAATAAAAAATAATTTTTTTGGAAAGCCGATCCAAACATGTCCTTATTAGGTTTGATTAGTGTATAAAACAAGGGTTTATTGTTTGTCCTTCAAAAGGATGGTCCTTTTAGATAAATGGAGTGTGTTTTTTCAAATTTCAAATTATAAATTTTTCCCTCCACTTTCTTTTTCCCAAATTTATTCCTGTATCTATCTTAAAATGATATAATTTAAAATGATACACACTTTTTTCATAAACCAAACACCACAATTTTTCATGCTGTATTTAAATTCATTAAAAAAAAAGAAAATAAATGTTTTTTTTTCGAAACAAGAAAATAAATGTTTTTGACATTAATGAAGGCGATCTATCCATTCCCCTCGTAACCCAACGGTCTTTGCGGCCATTCAATTGACAAATGAAAAAGTCCACACGCAAATACTAAAAGCAGCTTCCATTTTTATTGAACAATGGGGATGAGTTTTGTTTTTGAAATTTTTTACAGAAAACACTAAATATAAGTTCTCACGCAATTCAATAAAAAAAAATCGGAAAAAACAAGTATCATGTTCTAGAAAAATTCTCTTGTCATGTTACGGAGACAATAAGTGCGGGGTCTACCATATTTAAAATAAAAAAAGAAAAAAAAGTACACCACAAATATCGGTGTATGTGTAGGAAACTTTGTATTTGTCATGCAACATGACAAATGCAAAACCCAAAAAAATCAAGAAAAAGGAATAAAAAAATTTAGTGTTTATCCTATTATAAGAAATAATTTTTTTAATATATAAAATTATGCAGATTCATATTTTTCTTCTTCTCTTCAAACGGTTTATATGACCTTATACATTTTTATATATGTATAGGAGATAATTTTATTTCATATTTTACAAAAAATATTAAATAAAAAAAGAATTACAATACGGACTTTTTTTTCTTTGACAGGGGATTACGCAGATATTGCTGTGCAATTATATTACTCAATTAACTCTTAATATGACCACTGAATTATTTGAAGTTGTGTCTAATGGCTTTTTTTTAGCTTTTATACTAATAAATTTATTCATGGAGTAATTACATGTATATTTTTTTAAATCTTTTTTGGCAGATAAAAAACATTATTAGGACAGGTAATTGGTAGCAGACTTGCTTCTTTTTTAGGGTGAAAATACGTATAAATTTAGGGATTATATTTTCTTATACAACATGAGATAAGATATCTTATGTTACACTCATAAACTTATGTGAGTTTTGTTGCACAGAAAAAGAGAAAAAAAATTAAAATAGATTCCACGTCTTTTTGAGTGTGTAGGAGAGACTTATTTTCTCCTATCACATGAAGCTAATATTTCCCATAAATTTATACTTACAAAGTGTTAACATACTCTCATACACCACCATTGCATAATATGTTTTGTCACTGTAAATTTATTATTATTTTTTTATAAATGGTAATTTATACAAGTTTTTTTTTTCAAATTATTTTCACACTTTTTAGATGTGTAAACCATTTTTATTTTAAAATGACTTTACCCCAATCACAACAATTTTTTTGTACATATGAAGTTCACCTGCATTGAACTTAAATTTGTCATTTAAACAATATATCATCATTATTTCTACAAGTATATTTTCCCTTGTTAATATACATACACTGGTAGCTTGATTCTCCTCTATACTACATAGGTAATGTAAGCTCACATAATAATTTAACCTTTATAAAAATAAAATTTAGTATATTAAATATTAAATAATAAAATAAACTATAATATACAAGCATAATAAAAATAATAATATAAGACTCAGTAATGAAAAATTTGTTTATTAAAGTGCATTTGATAAGAGAGACGTTAGAAATAAAAAACTAAAATAAATAAAGAGTGATTATATTTATAATTTCCTTTTCTTTAGAATCTCTTACAATTATTTTCATTATTATTAAATCAAAATTAAATTAATGGCTCTCATTTAATATTATTTTATAATTCTGATCCAACAATTATAAAAGTGATTGTAAAATAAAAAAAGTATAAATATAATTTTACCCAATAATTATTCGTATTACATATTATTGGGTTTATTAGTTTTTATATAATAGGAGATAAATTTATTTATATATACATAAATAAAAATATGTGGGACATCATTTTTTCTTTCTTACTCTTTTTTTTAATGAATCTCATATATTTTTATATATATATATATATATATATATATATATATATATAAAAGGAAACGGACTCGCTCACCACAAATTTTTTTTACAACTCTTAGAACTAATTTAATCACCATTAATTTTTGTCAATCTAACGATTATAATTTAGGGGAAGGATATTGTGACAACCAAGTTGTGTTACTACCAAGTGACTACCAATTAATCTCACCGTTAGATCGATTATATTGATCCAACGGTTATATTTATTTCCATCTTTGTATGGTCATGATTTCTCAAATTTAATACTTTATATTTATTTTCACCGGTTATGATTTTCCATATTTAATGCTTTCACTTTAAATATGAGAAACTATGACCATACAAAGATGGAAATAAATATAACCGTTGGATCAACATAATCGATCTAACGGTGAGATTAATTGGTAGTCACTTGGTAGTAACACAATTTGGTTGTCACAATATCCTTCCCCTATAATTTATTGAAAATTAATAACATTTATTGTGTCATATTTATTAATTTTTAATAAATTATAATCGTTAACGATAATTAAATTAATTGTAAAAGTTATAAATTTTTTTAGTGGTATCTGGATCCGCTATAAAAAAAATAGATAAATTTTTTCTCCAAGGTGACAAACTCGTTATATTATTTGGTGACTGATGGGCTGTCCTGTCCCTTAATTTTTAGTAAATGAACGAACTTTAGATTAATAAAAAAGTGAAAGCATGAAAAGAAAATGAAATATATAAAATGATAAAAATATAATTTGTTCAGACATGACATGGTGATGTTGAAGATTCGTAGATGAGACTTGATCGGATCCGTTGAGCAATTGATGTGTTATCTCCTTCGTCCTTCCAAACCCGTATCATTTCTGAAATCAGCGCAGGAACCCTAAGCCTAACATGCGCCCAAATTGTTGCCACGTTTCCCTAGCTTTCCTTCTCAAATTCCTGAATTTTCTTCAAGCCTTCGTTGGGGTTTCCATTCTGCTCTACTCAATATGGATGTTCAATCAATGGGATCATCACGTGCCCCAACCTCCTCTTCCTCCCATTCCTCATCTTTCTCTCCGTCACGGGTTTGGCTTCTCTGTCGATTCTATCAACCTCCCCGCTCCTTGGTACTTTTCCCTTTTCTCGCATTTTTATATTTCTTTCAGTAATTTCAGTTACTGTAGAAATTTCTTTCTCTTTCTCTTTTATTTTTTTAATTTATTCTGATAGGTAGTAATCAATAAAGTTGGTCTGGTTTGGGTATTAAATGCTGCAATATTGGTTCCGTACAAGTTAGGGGATGGTTCAATTAAATGCTTTGAGCTACTTTCTCGCTTGGAGTAAGTTCTGAAAAGGAAAATTAACCTTTATTTATTTTCGAAATAGTGAATTTTTGGAAGATCATAAAAGTAGAAGAAAACTGTTACTAAACTTTTACTTGGCTGATTAGTTATTACTGTGTCCTAATTTAATTATAATGAATGAAATTGCAATGTATTAGGTGAAATGGGTGGTCTGAATGAGACGGGAGGGTCAATATAATTAATCTGCAATGCATCATTAAGGATTTGCTTTAAGGTTTTTATGGTTATTCATTTGGTGTATATGTATGAATTTTTATTCCTCGCTTACCCTGTTTTTCTCTTGATGACAGGTTCATCTACGCTTTCATGGGAGTGGGAATATTGGTGTGCTGCATTACTTTCTTGGGTTGCATTGCAGCTGAATTGATTAATGGTTGCTGCTTGTGTTTTGTATCCCACTTAAAGCGGAGATATTTACTTATTTATTTTTTTGGTATTAGGGGATATTTATTTTCATACATTTTTTTTGCTAGACCGACTTTAATTATCTCTTTGAGGTGAGTCGGTCTCCTGAGTATCCCATAAGCTTCAATATTTTGAGTTGGCTTTGAGACTAATCTCGAGTCGGGCTTAGTCACAGTTAAAGCTCTTTGTCTCTCCCAAAAATGTATTTGGTGAGAATTGAACCCAGATTACTCAACATGTGTCGCCAACTGAGCTACACCCGTTCGGTTTAATCCTTGGAAACAATTCGAACTTTACTCGCTTTTTTTCTTTTTCTTTTTTCACTCCTTGACCTTTTGAAAATGCTAGTACACTCTACTCATCACAGTACTCCTTCTACTTGAGGCTGCTCTTGTGGGATTCATTGCGGTTGATCATCATTGGGAAGAGGTACTTACTTTCTTCTCCCCCTACCCTCTTTATAGATACGGTTGCGCTAGTTAACATTTGTGTCCCTTTCTAATGCCTATAATATGTTATTGCCTTTACAGGATATTCCGATCGATCCAACGGGTCAACTTGAGAGCCTTCGGTCTTTCATTGAAGATAACCTAGACATATGTAAATGGGTTGGTATTGCTGTGCTTGTAATTCAGGTATATTCATTTCTGTTGCTGCTTTGGTTTTGGTATCTGCCCTTTTTTTCTTGACCTCTCATTGGTAAATGACTAGGTTATAAACCATTGTTCAGACATGATAATGTGCACCATATATTATCTATCATCTTCTGAAGTGGGGTTTTTCCGTCAATACCACATCTTAATAGCTAGATAGCATTATGCAGCAGAATTTGTATGTGGCACCATCCCGATATGAATTTTAGTTCATTAACTTCAATTGTTTAAGGAATTTGGATGTGTTTGTTGAATCAGCTCTGACATAAGGTTATTGTTCACTTCTTTCACGAAAGTCGTGGAGCCAGATGTATTGTTGACTTTGTAGTATAATATAGAATGCCATCACGGTATCTCCTGGGTAATTTGATTTCCATAAGTTTATGTAATAAAAGATTAAGTAAAGAAATGAACAAACAGAAAGGAGAAGCTATGTATTGAATTGATCTGGAACTTGGGATTAAATTATTAATCATTACTAATGTGAACCATGTAATAGCCATATTTCTAATTTGCTAAATTATATGTTACTATACTCTCCAAGATCTTTCTTCTTGATTTGGTTATTACTTTGGTTGTGTTCTAAAGTTCTAATTGGTTGATTTTATGTGGTAACCCAATGCGTCCTTTGAAATCCATGAATTGCTAGTAATGCATTTATTTTGAAGATTCCGAATAAGGTAATGAAGCTTCATTGTAAAAACATTGATATTTTAAGTTGAAAAGTTTTTTTTGTGTGTGTGCGCGCCAGATAAACTCATTTTTTTAATAAAAGCAAAATAAACTAATTCAAACATGCACTTAAAATTAATCTTAATGCTCATTAGAAATTATTCCAATATAGGTGTTTTATTTTATTGTTTGTTGTACAAACATTTTATTGCACAGACCTTACATAAAAAAAAAAACAACTCCTCAATTAAGCCCGACTAGCAAGTGTGGGGTGAGGGCAATCTTTGTAGGTAGTCTTATCCTTGCAAATAATTACAAAGAGGCTGTTCCCGGATGTGAACCCGTGACCTTTGCAATCCTTGCACAGACATTAATAGATTATAAAAAATAGGGGAAAGAGAGAGAAATGGCAATGAACGAGTTTTTGTGAGATGTGTGAGGAGTTCCTTCTGTGTAAGCAACATTACTGATTCTGGCACATGATCTGATACATCATTTAATTTCTAAAACTATACTATCCACAAGAGAACATTCAAATAAAGTAATAAGCAATATTACTATTCTATTAATACTTTTTTTTCTCTTTTTGTTAATAAAGAAGGCCCTAACGCCCAAACAAAAACAGAATTACCTAGTAAACGGTAAGCAATGCATCTTGCCTCTTATATCTTCAGACAGCAGGTGCTGGATATCAGAAGGAGGAGCATGGTAAATATGAAAACTGTTAGAGAAGTATAAAACCCATTAAAGGTAGCCTCACCCAACAGTTTAAGCTTTTTGGTTGAATTGGTTCTTTACATGGTATCAGAGCCTCGGTGTCACAAGTTCGATCCTCACCGCCCCCCATTTAATTAATAAATAATTAAGTCTTGTGGATTTTCTTTGCATAGTTAGATGGGCTTGTGCATTGTCTATCCTTCAAGCCCAGTGGGCTCTCGTGTGAGGGGGCGTGTTAAAGAAGTATAAAAACCGTTAAAGGTAGCTTCACCTAACAGTTTAAGCTTTTGGGTTGAATTGACTCTTTACAGAAACCAAATCCAATATTTGTTGCCTTCTTTGCTAGCCAATGAGCACATCTGTTGGACTCCCGCTTTGTATGAGAGCTCTTAACTGTTCAATCCTGTTGTAACCATTGTCTGATACGTGATGCAACCTGAGAGTCTCTTGGGTCATCCTCATGAATTTCCAACACTTGTAGCACCATTAAAGAATCCCCCTCTACCACTAGCTTTCTAATACCTAGGCCCCAAGCCAACTCCAAACCTTTTTGTTGAAATATATAGTCCCACATTGGTTGTATGAGCCAACTAATTCTTTACATGGTATCAAAGCCTTGTATCCCGGGTTCGAACCTCACTGTCCCCCACTTTCTTTGTAGTGGAATTTCTTTTTTCGCACAGGTAGTTGGGCCTGTGCATTATCCACCCTTCAAGCCCAATGGGCTCTCGTGTGAGGGGGCGTGTTGAGATATATAAAACCATTAATGGAGCCTCACCCAAAAGCTTAAGCTATTAGGTGAGGATATCTCAACACGCCCCCTCACACGAGAGCCCATTGGGCTTGAAGGGTGGACAATGCACAGGCCCACCTACCTGTGCGAAGAAAGAAAGTGGGGGGCGGGTGAGAATCGAACCCGGTACACCGAGGCTCTGATACATGTAAAGAACCAATTCAACCCAAAAGCTTAAGCTGTTGGGTGAGGCTACATTAATAGTTTTATATATCTCAACACTTTTAGCAAACCCCATCAGAATCAAGGGGGTTACAATATCCCATATTGTAAGAGAACCCTCCCAAATAATATCCCTTTTCATTCCTTAAGAGTTCCCCATACCCAGAAATTCTTCTTGTTCTTATGGATGCACCATCAGTATTTAGTTTAACCAATTTCAGGTGGCATCCAATCACTACGATTAGGATTGGCTACTGGCCTTTTACATAGATGCATCCAATCATTAATATTTTTACTGGCCTTTTACATAGATGCATCCAAGGAGGAGGGTTGGCGTCAGGTGTTGCGAACCGGCCGTAAAAAACAGCTATATTTTTATGTGATGAACCTATATGATTTTTCGTTGGGGCGTACCCTTCATAGCGACGCGTTGCATCGGGCCCCGGGTGTAGCGAAAAATGGGCTAGGGTCCTTGCCATAAGGCAAGGCGCTGCATCGGGCCCGGGGTGTAGTGAAAAGTAGGCTAGGGTCCTTGCCCCAAGGCAAGGCGCCAGGTCTTCACCCGGATTTGGTGAGAAGTATGCCAGGGTCCCAACACGCAGATGGGCGAGCGTGGCGGGCAAGCACAGCCCAGGGGTTAAGGATGAGATTAGGAAGCTGGAACATAGGAACCTTAACGGGTAAATTGAGGGAGTTGGCAGATGTTTTTGCTAGAAGGAAAGTGAATATTGTGTGTTTGCAAGAAACTAAGTGGGCTGGAGAAAAGGCCAAGGAAGTGGATGGAACTGGTTTCAAGTTATGGTACACAGGTACGAACAAGAGTCGAAATGGTGTTGGAATTATGATCAATAAAAGTTTCAGAGATAAAGTTGTGGACGTCAAAAGGAAAGGCGACAGGATTATTCTGGTTAAGCTTGTTGTGGGTGACTTAATCCTGAATATCCTCAGTGTGTATGCACCCCAAATTGGATTGCAACCAACTGATAAAAGCCAATTTTGGGAAGACTTGGAGGAGGTTTTGAGGGGAATACCTCGAGAGGAGAAGATTTTCGTAGGAGGAGATCTAAATGGTCATGTTGGTAAAAGCAATGGAGGTTTTGATAGAATCCATGGAGGTTTTGGCTATGGGACGAGAAACGAGACTGGAGAAGATATCTTGAATGTTGCACTAGCCTACGATTTGATGTTAGTGAACACCTTTTTTCAAAAAAGGGAGTCACACCTAATCACTTTTCATAGTGGCCATAATCGTAGTCAGATTGATTTCTTTCTGGCTAGAAGAGAAGATAGAACTTCTTGTGTCGAATGTAAGGTCTACCCTGGAGAGTGTGTCGCTACGCAACATAAGCTGATAGTCTTGGATGTTCGGTTCAACAAAGTGCGTACAATGAAGAAGAGGGCTCAGAATCCAAGGATAAGGTGGTGGAAGCTTAAGGAGGGAAAAGAGAGAGAATTCAATGATAGAATGTTGCACGAAGGACCTTGGGAGTTTGATGGAGGAGTAAATGCAACATGGAATGAGATGGCTAAGTGTATTCAAAATTTGGGAAGGAAGGTGTTGGGAGAAAGCAAAGGAAATGAATTTCATACAAAGGAAACATGGTGGTGGAATGGAGAGGTGCAAGAGGCAATTAAACATAAGAAGGAGTGCTTTAGATATTTGCATAAAAGTCCCAGTGCAGAGAACCTGCAAAAGTTTAGATTGGCGAGAAAAAATGCAAAGAAAGTAGTGCGAGAAGCTAGAGGCAAGGTTTTCGACGAGTTGTATAAAAATCTTGGGAGCAAGGATGGTGAAAGAGGTATTTATAAACTTGCAAAGATAAGGGATAAGAAAAGTAAAGACCTCACCCAAGTTAGATGCATCAAGGATGAAAATCAAAAACTTCTGGTGAGAGATGAAGATGTAAATGAAAGGTGGTTGAAATACTTCAACAAGCTGTATAATGGGGATGGAGATACAAGCGAGGTGGACTTAAAGGACGCGTGTGATGATATGAATAGAAGATTTGTACGCAGAATTAATACACATGAAGTTAAGGAGACTTTAAAGAGGATGAAGACTAATAAAGCCTTAGGGCCTGATGGTGTCCCTATTGAAGTGTGGAGAGGCCTGGGGGATGTGGCAATAAAATGGTTGACCAATCTTTTTAATAAGATTCTCCAGACGAATAAGATGCCTGATGTATGGAGGAAAAGTATGATTGTGCCTATCTACAAAAACTAGGGAGATATACAGAATTGTTCAAACTATAGAGGCATTAAGCTAATGAGCCATACTATGAAGTTGTGGGAGAGGGTTATTGAACATCGCTTGAGGAGAGATACCAAGGTTTTTGTAAATCAATTTGGATTTATGCCAGGAAGATGTACCATGGAAGCAATTTTCTTGATGCGACAACTAATGGAAAGATACCGAGAAAAGAAAAAGGACTTGCGTATGGTGTTCATAGACCTTGAGAAAGCATACGATAGGGTTCCAAGGAAAGTTTTATGGTGGGTCCTGGAGAAGAAAAAGGTTCCATTAAAGTATGTAAAGGCAATCAAGGATATGTATGATGGGGCTACTACATGTGTAAAAGCTTGTAACAGATCATCAAGTTATTTTTCTATCACGGTAGGTGTACACCAAGGGTCGGCTCTAAGTCCTTACCTCTTTGCCTTAGTTATGGATGAACTAACAAAAGATATTCAAGAGGAAGTGCCATGGTGTATGCTTTTTGCAGACGATATTGTGCTTATTGATGAGAGCAAGGAGGGTGTTAATAGAAAACTTGAATTGTGGAGAAGCACATTGGAATCCAGAGGATTCACATTAAGTCGAAGCAAGACTGAGTATCTGAAGTGTGAGTTTTCTCTGGTACGAGATGAGGACCAAGAACCTGTGCATCTAAATCGTCAAGAGGTACCCAAAAAAGATGCTTTTAAATACTTGGGCTCCATTTTACAAAACGGTGGAGAGATTGATGAGGATGTAAATCACAGAATCAGAGCAGGGTGGATGAAATGACGCAGTGCATCTGCATTTTTGTGTGACCGCAAAATCCCCCTGAAGTTAAAAGGAAAATTCTATAAAACGGCAGTAAGACCGGCAATGCTATATGGAGCAGAATGCTGGCCAGCACAAAGGCAACATGAGCATAAGATGGGAGTAGCAGATATGAGGATGTTAAGGTGGATGTGTGGTTACACAAGGATGGATAAGATAAGAAATGAAGATATTCGACGAAAGGTCGGAGTAGTACCGGTAGCCGAGAAGATGAGAGAACATAGATTGAGGTGGTTTGGGCACGTGATGCTCCTGTAAGAACAGAAGTTTGTTACCAAGAGATCAACACAAAAAGAGGCAGAGGTAGGCCGAAGCTTACTTGGGGGAAAGTAGTAAAACAAGATTTAATGGAGTGGGATATAGATTGGCGGACAGTATGTCTTAGAACGGAATGGAGAAAAGCTATAAGTATGGTGGAGGGTTAGACCCGCTGTTATTCCTATGTTCCAGATGGTCCCTTTTTAGTCCTTTTCCCCTTCATTTCCCCCACTTCTTCTTGTCCCTTTCTTTTTTACTTTTATTTATTTATATATACATATATTGTTATTTTATTTTATCTTATTTTATATTTTTATTTTATTTGTTTATTTTTATTTATTTATTTTTGGCTTTTTTACTTTTTTACTTTTTTATTTTTTTATTTTTTTTATTTTTTTTTATCTTTTTTTCAACCGTTTTGTATCTTTCATGTGGGTTCATCTACCACCGATCCCAATTAATTTGGGATAAAGGTGTTGTTGATGTTGATGTTGATGTTGATATTTTTAACTAAAAAACTGCAATTTATAAATAAAAACTATTATGTTTTTTTGGTTATGATCTTTTTATTATAAATAGTAGTTTTTCAAAAAAAGAAAAAGAAAGAGAGTAAAGCATCAAACCAAAGTATATCCAATGACTATTTTCATGATCCTGTTTATGTTAGAGGCATTGTTGGTCAATGAGCCATGAATTGTGCAGAATCTTCTCACTAGAAAATTTGTTGATCCCCCCTCTCCCTTTCATTTGGAAGGATGTAGTGGGCACACACATTAGTTTGACTTCTGAAGATAGTAGGTTCTGCTTTTGATTTTAACATTTAGTTCTTGGATGACAGATATTTGAATGTATAGGGAGCAGAGCCAGAAATAGAATATGCTGCTCTATTTACTTTGTTAAAGTTGAAATAGGAAAACAGAACAAAAATTTACCCCAGATGAACACTTTGCCTGGCATATTTCATGTCTGTGTTGTTACATTATATGTTATATGGACACCATGAGATCGCTATGACTATTGGTTTTAAATTTTCAGCATATTGCATATCATCTGCACGAATGTGAAGCATTTTCTGGATTTCCTTTTATCCATTTCCTCACTTATTGTGATTGCTCTTTTTTTTTGTTGTTGTCAACCTCAGGCATTATCTCTACTATTGTCATTAATTTTACGAGCCACAATTTCTACACGGAGAGCAGATGTTGATTATGGGGATGAATATGATGTTAGGGATAGAAGTTGGGAGCCCCTATTGAATCCTCAACCTGGTCAACCATCTGGGTTGAGCAAAGGAGATAACAGAGCAAATCACTCTGACATTTGGAGCTCACGGATGAGAGAGAAGGTATGTAATTGTAAAGTGTAGTTTCTTTGATAATTGATATCCTCTAATGGCATTTATTTCTTTCAGTGATAGGAAAATAATTCATGATGTTGTCAAGAATTTGTCCAGAGAGAGGCTGAGCTTTTAATATGACAAAAAATTTCAAGCTGTTTTTTTGCATCTGTACATATTTTATAGTCGCCTTTTAATTAATTTCACTGTTAGCATATCGTAATTTGGTTGTAGAGTTATTGTTCATATGAACTTTTAATTGGCTTTTTTACTTGGATGCTAAACTCCGGTGTTTATTCCAGTGTGTCATAGGCATGCAGTCATGCACGAACTTGCATACCTACGTAAAAAAAAATGGGTTTTCAGTGTTGTCTGTTGTCGTTGCTTTAAACTATTCTTAATTACAATTTACATCATTAGAAACAGAATGGACATGTGAATGTTTTGCACAGATCATTCGAGTTCTTTTCCCTGTTATTTTGGATGGGTTTCGGAAATTTTAGGCCACAAGATCCAAGGTTTTCTGCATTTTAAGCTTTTTGGGTCTAAGGATAACATTCAATAGGTTTTTGGTTTTCGAACTTATTTTTTAGACTTTTCTCAAGTGCTTGTTTGTCGATAATGTAGGGAATGTAGTGTCTTTTCTTCTCTTCTATGCTCCCCAGGCGGGTAACTTTAGACCTCGTTGTATTTAAATTTTAGACATAACTATGTATTGAATATTCTATTCATGTAAACAGATTACTATTGAACCTACTTCCTTAATGTAATTGTCATTATTTCATGTTTGCAGTACGGGTTGAATAGTGGTGATAAGCACAGCTACCAAGCATGAATTCCAGGCAATGAATGCTACTAGCCGTCAAATGATTCAGTGTTGTGTTGACATCTTAGTACATATGTATATCTTTTGTTTTGATGTTTCTCTGGAAAATTTGTTATATATGCTATATAGTCATGGTAAGCATTTTAAATTAATCATATTATTGAAACTTGAGAATTTTGTACTAAATTGCATAGCAAAAGAGAAAAATGAAACAAAAAAACAAAAACATAATGATAAAAGTGCAGTTCCATAACAGAATTTTTTTTTTTTTTTTATTGACATTGGTATATGGTACGATGGCTTGGCATCCAGCTATATAGCTAGGATATTTAACTTGTAGTTTGTGTGGTTTGAACTTTAGTTTGTCTATATTAATGCCAAAGATGTAAAACGTTGTTTGTCACATCTGTTGGCATTCAATTTTATGTTGAATATAAAAGTTTAGTATAAATTTTGGAAAAGCTTGACTTGTGTTTGAAATGGTGCAGTGTGGAAAGCGAAATTATTCTAGGATTAAGGCCCTGCTTGATTTTGTTTAGATTTTTTCTTTTTTTCTTTTTAAATTGTTTCATAGATGATTATTTAACAGAATAAAAATATTTAAATGCTTGTTTGATGAATTTAGTTTTGAGAATAAGTTTTGAAAGCTCGGTGATGCTTCGGCGGCATAAAGAACACTGAGTGAGAGTAGAAAATTTAATAAAATAAGAGAAAAATGTGTATCATTTTAAAGGATGTAAAATTGTGTCATTTCAAGAGAGAGAGAGATAGATAAAGGTGGAGAGAGAGTTGACAAAAAAGTAAAGGTGTGAGTTTCATCTCTTTGTGAGAGTGAAATAATCTAAATTGTGTTATTTAAAAGGATAAATAATTTTTTCATAAAATAATAACATAACAGTAAAAATATCAAGCATGTACTTTTGATTTTTTATTCAAGAATAAAATTTTTAAAAAATTTCTTTGCAATTATGCAAGTAAGGTTGTCAACAAAGATTTTTCTTATTCCATCCTTAATAGTTTGTGTTATTTTATAATTTTTTTTTTTTTTTTTTTTTTTTTTTTTTTTTTCTTTTCTCTCAATTTTTTCTTGTTTGTTATTTGGGTTTATTTGTGGCCGATTTTAGTTAGTTTGAGATAGAGATATTATTGACTCTGAAAACTTTTAAACAATCAGATAATCAAAAAGTGTTTTTTCTATTCTACTGAACAGAAATTAAACAAAGCCTTAAGCATCACTCATCAGGTGAAGTTGACCAGTTTGAAATAACTCCTGATAAGTGGTAGTTACATGTTTCTGACTAGAAAAAAATGTATGCTGTTGTTAGCATTTGATTTCTACATGATATGTGAACAAGTTTAGAGATATTCAACCTCATTTAAATGTAATTTATTTATTTTTCTTGGACAAGAGAAAGTGTGACAATATTGTTATGTTTCAAAATTAGGTGCCTAGGAAATTATCCAAATGACCATTTTGACTACTTATTGACCATTGTATGGGGTAAGATGACATCTTGTATTTTAATGAATCGACCACGACAAACTGTTGATGAACATGTTGCTTTGAAACCGCAGATTCTATAGAACGGAAAAATGAGCAAAAATCCTAAAGCAGCTTCCTTCCACAGTACCTATCATTACACGCTGTCACACACTCTCTCTACACCATTTCTTTGTTTGATAGAGAAATGACAAGTGATAAAATATTTTTTTTTGTCTCTTCCAAGAATCATGTGATATGTCATATGTGAGTTCCCCCTGCACTTTAGGATCTCAAGGATTGAAAGCCTATCTTGTTGAACACTGTCCACAGTGTTGTCACGGGTATTTCTAGGTTCAATTTTTAAGTGGTAGATACCAAAGTTTTGGCTTCTAGTCTAGTTACAAATTTCACACTAAATCGCCATTGGGAAATATTCTCATCCTTTTATCCATTTGAAAAAAGTTTGTCCCCTTTTTCTTCAAGGTTCTGCGTCTTCGGCCTGCTGAGAGTAGTGCCTCTCCTGGCTCCTATCACGTGTATAAGTATCATTTTCAATATTTCTCTTGCATTATGTTCCACTAGTTATGTAGACAAAAAGTACAAGTTGACTATCTTTATCTCTTGATTATTTATACTACTTTAACTAACTAATTATATGAGTGTTAGAGAAGTATAAAAATTATTAATATAGTCTCACTTAATAGCTTAAGTTTTTAAGTTGAATTGACATTTTAATCAGAGCCTCGGTATCATGAGTTTGATTCTTACCGCTTCCCAATTAATTAATAATTAATTAAATCTTGTGGAGTTTGTTAGTACAGCCTAATGAGATTTCGTGTGAGAGGACGTGTTAGAAAAGTATAAAACCATTAAGGTAGTTTTACCCAGCAACTTAACCTTTTGGATTGAATTGATTCTTTATAACGAGACTATGATTCTTTAGGCTTGGTTTGCACTATATATATATATATATATATATATATATAGGGAAAAACATTTCTCAAACAACTTGAGATAAGTTTATATCCAGCTACCCCAAACTACGTCGTTTTATTTATTTATTTTCTTATATTAATTGATTCACCTTATATTAATTGATTCACCTTTGAATGATTATGATTCCCTTTTTCTTTTTCTTCCTTTATCACCATTGACCCATCTTTGTACGGTTGTGATTTAGTAGCCGGAAGTAAAATTACCTCAAGTAGCTTGAGAAATGATAAGCTTATATATATATAGGATCGGGATCATTTTATATCGGTGCAAGACTAATAATGGTTTTAACTAGTTTAAATGAGAGATAATAAGTTTAACTAGTTTAAAATGATCATGATCCTATATATATTTCTTCTGATATATTACCCATTTTGTTTTAAAAGCTTTGGCCTCTGTAATCCCAATAATCCCTTTTTCTAACCCCCAAAAGAAAAAAAAAAAAAAAAAAAGAAACTTCTAAAAGAAGTGACAAGAGAGATAAAAGATTTGTACCAGCATCTGAAGCGTTTATTTCTTGGACCACAAACTTTTCTTAGTCGACACTCCATGTGTGGTAGGAGAATCTCATGTCGAATTCTAACTGGAAAATATAGACTCAACATATATAATACTGAGTAAAACTAGTTAAACTTATTATCTCCCATCCCAAAAAGGATTACATGAATTGTCTTAGAGCAGGGAAATTGAATATGCTCAGACAAATGATTTGTTTTGTGAACCATCACCAATCTGGCCTTGCCTTGTATTATTTCTGTGTTGTGACTTGTGATTCCAATTTTAATGGTAGATTGTGATTGTGGTGGGTGCATCATGCATGCTCCATACCAATTGTACTAATGGTACAGTTAGAACACCACATTTATGGCTACATTAGTACCAACACAGACCGATTGTGATTTGTGACAATGTTATACACAATATCATGATCTCATTGCACATCATCAACAGAAACTAATTTTAACTGCACTATTAGTTTCATGGTCTCTTATAACTAGTCTAATTCTTTATTTCAGCAGTCGCATAGGTAATCATTTCAAATAACTACAATTTTTTTTGATAGCATTTAATAAATTAGGTAAGAATAGTTACAATATTTATTTAATTTATTTAAAACTAAAAGCAGAAAGCCTCATAAGGGGTTCAGGTTCTGCCAGTAAAATCAACCACAGCATTCTCAACAAGCTCTTCTATCAACTTTCCTTCTATTTCCCTCCCCAAGATATCAATCTCCAATTCCTTAAGCTCAATCCACCCTATCCCCACAACCTCTTTCTTCACAACATTTTCTACCACCAGGCTGTTGCTGTCCCCACAGCCCCCCCAAGCACACCTCCTCCCACTAGCTATTAATTCCTTCATTTGGGCCACAATGTGGTCCAACAACAATGGAGATGCACCCTCTTGGACTGGGAGCTTGCTGTGGCTCCCACTATACATTCTACCCTTGAAGTAGTAACTCTCTGATCCATAACCAATAATTTCCAATAGAGCAGCATTGACATGGTCAAATACAAGCTTCTGATTTGATCTCATCTTCCTTCTCCTGGCATCATGGAGAGGCTGAGACTCCTTGTCACTCAGATTGGCGTATGTGTCCCTCAATGATGGGTCCAATGGGCTTTCAAGGGAATGCCATCTAGTGTAAAAGGAGTTGCACAATTCTTGATCATCAAGTCCAGCTTCTGATAGTAGTTTCTGGACCAAGAGAAGCCACTCTTGTTCCTCTTCCTTGGCATCTAAGGAAGAAACCATGAGGGGTTTTAATGGATAAGGACTTGCTGCTACATCTGCACAAAAATCATCCCATGAAAGGGTTCGAGCTATTGATTCTATAGGTGGTGATTTGTCTATTAAATTGGACTTCAGAGGCATCCATGATCCTATACATACAGAATGAATGGCATTTAGATAATAATAAAAAAAATAGAAATTAATATAAGGCCTATGTATGAAATAAGAACTTCCAGAAATAGCAAGACATTGATAAAGTAAGGTCTGAGGATTACCCTGGTGACCACCCATTGTAGAGTCCAAGGATTCATGAACTGCATTATAATCTTCAAATGGAGGTTCTAACACTGAGATTGGACTTGGCTGTTCTTGGTTTTCACTTGAAATATCTGGCACCATGGGCTTTGTCACTGTCAATCCAGGCTGTGAAAAATAAAAATAAAAAATAAAAATGGATTATATTTATATATGAACCTAGAATATATGCATTCAGTTTATCATTCAATAGTCTGGGGTGACCAGAAATCGAAGAGGTTTTGCTCTAGGTCTAGGTTACTGAGAAAAGTTAATTCTATTAATTATCAACAAGTACCCAAGCATGCTGATCATAAAAAAGTTTGGTTTTTCGAATTCATTTGTTTCACCATTCTAACTCATATTGAATCCCAACAATTTGTCAAGAAAATTGGTCTCGGTACACAGAACCTGCCACCATACTCGTCCAATTTCCATATCACTCACGATGAAGACTAATACAAGCATCTGTGCCCCATAAGAACTTTCAAGGATATAAATAATTTCATTAATTAGGAAGAGAAGGCACAAAGATTCCTGTGGATCATGAAAGGATACTCAAAATCTTACAATTAAGGACTGCTTTTTTGGTGTTATCCAACAATACCATAATAAAGGTTAAACAAAAGTTAGCTTAATTATCCACTAACATAAAGTTAACAAAAAGCTATAAATACTAATACTGTATTTCCCATGTTTTCTGTTCTCTTTCCATTCCACTCCATTCTCTTCTAAATATTAACACATCCTAAGTGGTTTATCAACAAAAGAAAGAAAATTTTCAAAATGAACTAAAAAAATAGTATATTGAAATTTGCAGAATAATAGTAGACATTACCTCTGGTGTTATTATGCCTTGCTGGTGTCCCTTAGAGACTGAATCTGTTGAAGTTTTGCCTGATGATTCATATAGAGCTGTAATAGAACACTCTTCAAAGCCACCACCATTGATGCTTTGAGACATATCATCCGTAAGGACTCCAGGTGAATTTACTGGAAAAACTGACGTTTCAATGAAATTATATTGAGATTCATCTTTAGATTGAGTAGGACAAGATTTTTCCTTGGTTGATTTCTTCTTCCTTGAGAACAAGAAACTGGCAACTTTCCCTTTAAATGATGATCTCTTACTCTTTGACTTTGTCAGCACCTTGGAGTCATGTGCTTTGCCAGCATTGTGATCACAAACCTCAATGCTGAGCCCGGTTTCATAGACAGTAGAGTATGCAGGGACAGAATTTGACCTGGGAAGATTTTTAGGAGAACCATCAATGCATGTTCCTTCATTGAAAGAGTGACTACAAGAAACAGATTTGCTTGGTTCTTGGCATTCATCAATACCCTCAAACTCAGATGTTGCAGATTTCTTTGTATGGGAAAGAGAAAGCATCTCACCCAAGGTAGGGATTCTCCGCAAATGTCTTTGTTCTTGAGGACCCTTTTTATATGATGCCATCATGGTCCATCTTTCAGAAAGTCGTTTTTTTGCCTCTCTACACACTGATGACTCAGGAGAACAGGATGCAAGACCCAATGATGGTGTAGAATAAGTACTGTCACAGCCATTGGTGTAATTCCATGAATGCCTTGTCAATGGTGACATAGCTTCCAAATCACTGCAATTCCCAGCTGTATACTCATGATATGATTTGTTAAATGAACACTCATCACCAGAATAGCCATAATATAAAGTTCCACCCTTTTGATAACTCCTCAAACCTTCATGCATTTGCTGTGTGATCTCTTTTGCCGCTTCTGTGGATTCTAGAGGTGATGAAGTTGTTGGAGAAACCACAGCCTTGAGTTTATGTGTCCTCCCAAAGCTAGGCTTCAATACCACTATTCGAGTAGATTGAACTGGGAACTCATCAACTTTCTGACTTTCTGGATAGTATCCATGAATCTTGTTCTCCCATATAGCTGCTTGATCAACATTTGGTGGTTTCTTAATCAGTCTCTCATTCTTCTTCCCCTTTCCACCAGATTTGCCATTGTCAACCATCTTCAAAGGTTTAATAAGAGTAATGCACTTTGTCTGAGCTGGTGGAGTAGTAGAGTGATGTTCATAAAGCTTATTAGAATCCAATAACCTGATTAAGAGATCACTATTGGAGCTTAAAATTTCCAAGGCATCTTCAAATTGCTTGGACTGGCGCAGTCTCTCATCTGTTGACAAATGTTTTGCTTCCATGAATTTCTGATGAATGAGAGCCATTTTTCCCCTATCAACATCTTCCCTCCACCTTCCTCTCTCTGGTGTCTTGTCTCTTACATGGCTTGCTTTCTGAGATTGGAGCCATATTTCATAGATATCTTTGTAAGCAATCTGTTCTCTACTTGGATGAACTTCATGAAGCATCTCCTTATCCATAAACCTATCTTTCAGCTGCCAATGTTGGAATGGTGGCCCTAAATGACCATACATATGTTGAGAATCACCTTTTCTGTGGCTTCTTTCCACAGACAAATTAGGCTCTTCCCTTGGAAGGGTTTCAATCCCCATTAATTTGGCAACTACATTTGGTGGGTTGTGCTTGGAGTCTTCTTCTTTGGACATTTCTTGTTCTATGAGCATCTTGATGATGGGTGCTCCATTTATTTTTCTAGCTTATCCTCTATCTGATCACCGCCTTCTAGTTGACTTGTTGAAGGTGAAGAAGAAGCTGCAAGACAAATTATATGTACAATTTTGATATATGGGAATAATATAATAGCATATATTGCAGAAATCAAAAGTACAACTATTCCAGACAACTTGGAAATAAACAAAAAACTAATGACAATTTAAAGAAACCTCCAACTTGGTAGCATGATGCTCCTTATGACACATGAAACCACCAAGAAAGAAAGAGAGGTAAGTGTATATCCAAAAAGAAAAAGCTGGGCATGGTGAAGATATGTGGGCTTGTTGTGTCTCTTCCTCTGTCTCTGCCTTTGCTTATCTCTGTACTATGTACTACACCTACTCTCTTGGTAAAATTCTTCCATCAAGCTACTATTGATTTATCTAGTTTCTTATAAATAAATTTCCTACTTTTTTTTTCAATAGAATTTGATTCACACGTTCAATTTCGTATGCTTGATAACAAAGTTAATCAGCGAAACAAAACAATCAAGTTGTTACACTTTTATAGGCAAATAATTAATGCAGTCCTAATGTGATAAATAATTCATTAGCCCAATTCTTGGCCAAATAATATTAGTAAGGAAAGATAACATAAATGTTGAGAATGAGTAATTGCTTAGAATATAGAATAAAGAAAATATGTGAAATAATATTCCATTTTAGGAACACATTTACAAGGTGAGTTACTTGACTAAATTGTAGGGAGCCTTTGAGATTGTATCTTTGCTATTTTGAAAAATGTCAAAAATAAATCGTTACCAAATAGATAGTATCATATGGAAAGGAGACCCTTTTAAAGGAGATCCCTCTTCAAAGGTGTAAATAAAATATAACCAAGAAAACAGAGAAAAAGAGGCAAAATCGGTTGAGGCCCAACAATTTTCCTCATTTTGTTAGCTTGACTTTGTTATAATTATTTGTTTCATCTTACCTTTAATTCAACTGAGGCTACCCAAAACTTTGGGTTTTATAGGCGAGTGAAAACAAAATCATTTGTATAAGGGTAGCCTTTTATCCTGGGGAAGAAAATATTGAGTGGGTCACATATCGTTTTCTATTTATGAGTGACGTACAAGGTGCACATGCAACTGAAAATGACCCTTTAAATAGAATAACAAACCAAAAACTAAATCTAAACAAGTTATATAGCGTAGTTTGTGAAGACTTAAGAGTACGAATATCATTACATTAGAAAAGCAAAAAAAATTACAATATCTACTTTTTTTCACGTGCACCGTAGTCCCCGCCGAGGAGGGCGTTCATGCATCTTGCCTTTCAACTCCACCATAGAGAAGTGCAGAAGAAGAGCGTAACCAAATTGAAATCTTGAGTAGCATGAAGAGCACTCCTACGGATCCAAGAGAAAGAAGTTGGAGATAATTTTGAATTCAAGTTTGGGGTTTGCTTAACGTAAAGATTTTACACAACTTGGGTTACGATTGTAAACCTTTACCGTTCGATAAATGATAGAGGCGGGGTAAATTAGTTATAAAGGTGAGGTCCCCAAATCAGTTACAACCTTCAATACCTACAATATATTATATATGCACTTGTGAAATTTCAGTATATGATATTCAGTGATATGGATTAGAAGACATGAAGAGCCCGATTAAACAACAGCCCAACATAGGGTTATAAGACTCAGAGTAAAGACTTAACCCATAAAGAAATATGTTAGGAATGTGTACAAACAATCCCGTCATATGTAACGCAGACAACTACGTTCCCAACAGCACAGGATTAATAAACCTCCTCAATCATCAATGACTGAACGACAACAACGAACATCCAGCTATGCCTAAGCAACATAGGCCATCAAGAGAAATCCCGCATAAAAGGCAAGCTAGAAAAGCCACATAAGTCCACCAAAAAGAAAACATATCAATCATGCCACCATTTTAAGGCGGCATGATAAACCATCAAGCAAATCACTTCAAATACTATAAAGAAGAGGCTTAAGTTCAGATATCATCATCCTTACTCAATATATTAAAGCTTATTAAGAAAATATTAACTTGAGCGTCTAACTGCCTTGCAGATTTTCGTGTTCCAACCAAATCACAAAACGACGACATTGGAGAACCTATCTCGCAAATATTATCCTATGCAACAAACCAGAGATCCCGTTACATCCATTTATCAGAACATCGATTTGGTATAGGCTCAACCGAGAGTTGTCAGACCCAACACCTTGACCTTGTGATGCAATGCTCTTACACGAGATATACCAAAAACTCCAAGTAATTTTTTCGAGTGAATCACGGGAAATTTTTTCAGATATGTCAAAATTTTACTCAATCACTTGAGATACTTATGAAACCATGATTTGTCAATTTAAATTCTCGAGAGTGTTGTTAATGCTCTGATTTACCAAATATCCTATAATAGGAACAATATTAATTTCCACCTAAAAGGCAAACGTTGAAGGACAGATCATCTTGTGAACACATGGCATAGCAATTCAAAATTAACCAGAAACATCCACAGGGTCACGTTTGATCAAATACCCCAATGAGTGTTAAGACTCTAGAGGAGCATCTTGTGCGTTTGCTCTTTCTCATTGATACAGTCATTTCCATCCAGAGGAAAGGGCCATCCATTGTCTCTTTGCATGGACATACGAAGAAAAGAAGAGTTATATATTTCCATCAAGCCTTCCCTACAACGATATAACACTTCCCCGTGATTTCCACCATCCATTTCTGGCTTGTAATTATCATTAATGTGATAAAGAGAAGACAAACTTTCCCTTTGGGGCAGCTGTAAAGTTCTAGAATTTGAATTTTGGTAATTCAGATGGGAACTGGTTAAGGATAAGGACCTCTGACCTGAGATGAAATCGAGTGAAGATGAAAGCCAGGCTTCTGTATCATGATGATGGGAGTCATTGGAAACTTTTCTTCTAGTCCAACGCTGGTAAGGTGAAAGGTATATGCTGTCTTCACATGAAGTGCCACTCTTGCAATTTTCTGACAATGTAAAGTTGTGCTTATTGTGTGACAAGGACAATGCTGTATGGTCGAAATTTGTGTCCTTGTCTTTATTATTTTCAAGTAAGGATGAACGGCTAAAGTGGTATTCACCTAATGTATTATTTAATATCTGCTCTTCACCATGGCCTAAAATTGATAATGCAGGGGCCATATCTGGCTCTGTGTACTTATAAGTGATTGGTAAATTTATCTCATTTGTTGTGGAGTCAAAATCCTTTTCCAGAAGAAGAGGAATTGGTTCTTTCTCAAGTTTCCCCAGCTGCTTGAAATGATTCAAAGTAAAGATTTCATGCTTTTGCTCATTACGCAAAAATCCAAGAGGTACATCACTCTTGTCAATGAAACTTCTCCCAAATTTGCTTTCAGCTTCTGTTATACTGAACATAGGTTGAAACTTGTGAGGATAGGATGGAAAGTCAGCATGTGGAGTAATTATCTCAACTGAACGGAGAAACTTAGGATACAACAAATGATCACTGAAGTATGAGCTTGATTCAAGTTCAAGGAGTTTCCTCTTAGGAATCTGATGGTACAGCTCCCTAAATTGAACATCTAATTCTCGAGAATCAAGTAAACCATATCTGGTAGCATTTTCTACTTTGTTAAACAGAGATCCAAGTGTTTCGTCACTCTTGGCAGTGGCACTGAAAGTTGGAGTTCCACTGAGTTTGCACTCAGGTTCTGTTATACTGTAAAGAGGTTGAAAGTTGTGAGAATGATGGGTTGGAAACTCAGCATGTGGAATAATTCTCTTATCTGATCCGGGGAACATAGGAGACAACAAATGATCACTGAAGTATGAGCTTGATTCAAATTCAAGGAGTTTCCTCTTAGGTTTCTGGTGGTGCTCCGTAAATTGAACGTCTATTTCTCGAGAATCAATTAAATCGTATCTGGTAGCATTTGGTACTTCGTTAAACAGCGATCCAAGTGTTACATCACTCTTGGCAGTGGCGCTCAAACTTGGAGTTCCATTGAGTTTGCACTCAGGTTCTGTTATACTGTAAAGAGGTTGAAAGTTGTGAGAATTATAAGTTGGAAACCCAGAAGGTGGAATGATTCTCTCATCTGATCTGCGGAACATAGGAGACAACAATTGATCACTAAAGTGCGAGCTTGATTCAAGTTCAAGAAGTTTCCTCTCAGGTATCTCATAGTGCTCCTTAAATTGAACATCAGGATTTTGAGAATCAAGTAAATCATATCTGGTTGCATTCATTACTTTTCCTGGATTTGGATCCTTGTATTTCTGGCACAGAAAATAACTGTTGTTAAGGAAAAGAAGTTATAGGAAGAATTTATAGCATTAGAAAGGGCTAAAAAAGCGTACATTTTCCTCGATGCTCATAGGGAACAGCCGACTAAGGAGAATGGAAACAATATCGTGCCTGAAAAATTCCTATTATATTCATAATAAAGGGCAAGGACAAAACATTTAATATTAATAGCAAAACCGTGCCTAACCCTTTTGAACCAAGCTTCTCTATATCAGGAAATAAGGCATCCGCAACACACTGTCGTAATTTCTGTCTCTTTCTAGAGAAAATTTCTCCATGCACATACTGGTTTCCTGAAGATTTGCCACAGTAAATTGTTTCACACAAGCTGTTTCAACACATTCTCAAATATGAGTATTGAGCAGTAAATTGCAAGTATACAGCTAATATACATTTTTCCTACAATAATAAATTTAACATGTGAAGGTTAATTAGCAAATCAGTGATACCCAGTAATAGCTTGACACTTACATCCATTTGGATGAATCAGTAAAAAAACCATATACGTTCAAACTGTTTTACACATTATTTTCCCCTGTAATCCCCTAGCACCCAAGCAATCAATACGAAGAAAATCAAACCTTCATGTGAAAGCGGTTTGAAGGTGTCACCACAAGCTTGAGAGTTTTTCGGCATGCTGCGGATAGAGTACAGGTCTGCATTTACCAAAAAGGAAAAGATCTTTGGGTACTAGATTGTTGTTTAGCAGGAAATGAAAAACTGAAACTATAGAGAAGGGGGAGGGGGAACAGTTTCCAATTTTCTACTTTTTATAAGAGCAAACGACTAAAGTCCTCCTGAGACACTGAAAAGCTTCGTATTTTTATTCATGAATAAGTATGTGTTGATTAGAAAAATCAATAAAAATGCCACACAGGACAAACTAAAAAAGCAAACGTGACTAAATACGAGTAGATGTTGAATTTGATAATATGAGAAGACAGAAACAAAGTTATATTAGAATGAGGAACGCTTCTTAGTATAACCTTTCCTATTTATTGTTATTGTGAAACTTCATAATCATAAGTATCAGTATGTCGCTTAGGCTAGAGTATTGGGGAATTCTCTTTTCTAATGCGCACCTGACTTATTCCATGCTCCACTAGATGGTGAGAGAAATGAGTCTGTCTTAACAGTTGATATGTCCTCAATGATCCTTGAAGAGTTGTACTTGTAGCCCTTACTGCTAACCCTGACATGACTGGTCCTCTCTGCAAGGAGTCAATAAATGTGATGATTATTCTGTTGTAACAAAAGATGGCACATATACTGTCTTCAAACTTGGGGAAACATCCAATTCTCTAGAGTAATAAGGGAAAGGAAAGTTTTCGACAATTCAATTTCTTATATAGAAATTCGCCAACCTAATTAAATTGAAAAGAATAAGGGCAGCCTAATTCTATAAAGCTCCTGTAATGCGCAAGGTCCCCAGGTTAGAACAATTGTAGGGTTCTATAATAGGCAGCCTATAGGGTTGGCAATTTGGGTTGGCAAGTGGTGTTTGGATCGATACAAACACAAATCCTCTAAAGTCGAATGCGACATTAATAGCTATTTGTGTCAAAACCCTCAACACTAACACGACCTATTATTTATGCGGGTTGACACAAATGAATAACCTACAAATTTTACTTTTGAAATGAAAATTACATAAATAATCTGAATTTAATAAATCAAAATAGGGAAATATGTAATTATATAACTATTCAAACGAGTCAATGGAAAGTTGACTCAAAAAAAAAAAATCCACGTTGTGTTGGGTTGAAAATTGACAACCCTATTAACATTCGCAAAAGTATGATTACATGAATTGAACCTATATTCTCCAAGTCACATGGAGACAACAACAACAACAGTTGGTACAAGTTTCCTTCACTCAACGAAAAAGAGTATAAAAGAAAAGGAAGACTTGTTATTGTTAAACCATGACATAATTAGACCAAGGGTTCCAGTCCTTGGGTAGAATCAATCACAACATACACAAATTTCTTTAACTTTCAAGTTCAACCAACCTTCGGAATAATCACTGGATTCAGGGTTCTTAGATGATAGGTAAGCATCCTTTTGCAGTGGACGTGAACGAAATCTCAGGCTTGCATCCTTCTTCAATTTCTTAAAGAAAGCATACTCAGAAGTTTTCGGATCAGTTTCTGCACCTGAATCCCAAATCAGAGGTCAAATCAAATGCTTAAAAAACAAAAAACAAAATAAAATCCAGTTTATTTAATTGATAATTATTATGAGAACATGCAATGCATTAAGCCGAATTACATGGAACCTCCTTAGCAAAACTTACATGTTGTAACCTTTTCTCTTTGCGATGATGGCATGTAAGAATCTTCTTCCAATCTGCAACTTCTAGGGCTATCTTTTTCTCCAGCCACGAACTTCGCATTTTTCCCGCGACCAATTTCTCGGGTTCGGAGTTCGGATTTCGGAGCTCCATGGAATCGTGTTCGGGTATTGCCAAATGGATCGTTGGAGTTAATTTGGAAATTCTTCCTTTTCGTCATTGCACTGCGACAAACCCTACACACACTGCCATGGCCGTTGTCAAGAAAGAGGACGGGGACACTGGATTTGGCACCAAAAGGCACGTGATAGCACGTGACGGCAAGATATATGACGCAAATTCTGCGTGGGTGTATAAATTTCGTTTGCGGAATAAATATTATAGTTACAATCATTTTAGACTTATCATTCTTATTATCTTTTTAGTTAATATTAGATATTTCGATTAATTTAAAATCAATAATTGAAAAAGAAAAAAAATTAATTTCTATTAATTTGAAATTTATTCAATAATAACCAAAGAAATAATAAGAGTGATAAATTTAAATTGATGTACTTAATAAGTATAACCTTAAATTATAGTAAAAAATTCAAAAACCCAAAGTATTGCGTTGAATTACTTATACCCCTATACTTTTTTAATCACTTAATCTTTGTGATTTTTTTTATACACACCCTTGCGTTATGCTGTTAGGAACTTAATTTAGTATACTTATTTTACCCTTCAAAATAAAATGATAAAAAAAAATTAAATATAATGAAAACTTGCAACACTTAATAAGAGACTAAAAGAAAAAATAGCAGAAAAAAATTAAATGTGTCTAAATAAAAAAATAGATAAAGACAAAAAAATAAGGTCAAATATGTTCAAAATTACAACAGTGACAGAAAAAAATAAAATAAAAAAATAGTCCAAATGAAAATAAATACTAAAGATGAAAAATAGAAGAAAAAATTAAGATAAAAAAGAAATCAAACAAAAAGAATTTTCAATATATTTGATTTTTTTTTATCCTTAATCTATTTTATTCTTTTTTATTTAAATATGTTTGGTCTTTTTGTATTTTTATCTTTTCACTTTTTTTCTGATTTTTTTTTTACCCTTGTGCCATCCCATATACTAAAGATTTTAGTAAAAATAATTAAAAGAGAGAGAATAAAATAGAGTTTTAAAATGGATCAAATATATCTAAATAAAAAAGAATAAAATAATCTATCAAAAAAAGAATAAAATAGATCAGGGATAAAAAATAAAAAAAATAAAACTAAATATATTGAAAATTTATAAATGTGATTTCTTCTTATTCTTTTTGTTATGTTAATTTTTTCTTCTATTTTTTTTGTATTTAGTATATTTTTTTATTTAGACTATTTTTTTTTTTAATTTTAGTTTTTTCATTCACTGTTGTGATTTTTAACCTATTTAGTCATTTTTTTGTCCTTATTCTTTTTTTTATTTAGACACATTTGATATTATTTTTCTTTTAGTGTTTTATTAAAGATGATGGTGGATAAAAAAAACTACATAGGATTAAATGATTAAAAAAATAAATAAAGGTATAAGTGATTCAAGATTTTTAAACTTTTCCTTAAATTATTTAGGGGATAGGTTATTCTATTTACCATTTTTTCTGCTTACATTTGCCTACCACTCTTCAACACCATTTGATCAGAATCCCAACTACATTTTTTATTTCTCTCTCCTATTGAGATTATAATCTAACGGTATTGAAAGATGGTAGGTAAAGGAAGGCAGAAAAGATAGTAGGTAGAATAACATATCTCATTATATAGATTAATTTTTGCATAACCTCACATGTTATATGGAAAAGTATGCTCTGCTTGGATACTATCTTTTTTAAATTAGAAGCTATTTATAAGTTAAAGCTAAAAAAAAGCTAAAAGCTATTTTATAATTACATAAAATTTTTAGCTTAAAAGTTATTTAAAATCACATGTTTCAAGAAAATTATATCTCTTTATCTTTATAATTCTTCATTTAAAAAAAAAACACATAATTTAAGAAAAACATATAAGAGCTTAAAAAAAATTCCTCCTAAAAGCTTTTGGCTTTCAACTTTTTTTTCATTATAAAAAAAAAAAATTCATCTTTTTCCAAAACCTATTTAATTTATCTTATATTTATAAGTAACTTCTAACTTAAAAATAAGAGAATTTAAACAGTTAGAAAGTGACTTTTCTTTTTCTTATTGACGTCTGCATGAGAATCATTGCCAGGATTGTATAGGTCTTTTATTTTTGGGTTACAGAAGTTATATAGGTTTTTAAAAGACTAAATTTTATAGGATACCAAAAAAAAAAAAACTAAATTTTATACTTTTATTTAAGAATGATAATTTAATTTTTTTTGGTATGCGATAATTTAATTTTAAATCTCAAGTATAAATTTTATTCAAAGCAATATTTCATACGCTCTAAAATACTAAAATAGATGTGTATATATACCCCTTTTTTTAGATTTCAACCGATAATTAATTTGATTTTGAATTTAAGTTTTTTTATATTCCCAAAAATTATGAATCCATTATCCTTTAAGCAGTAGATCACAAATAAGTATTATTTTTTAAACTAAAATATCGAAAACGTTATTGTATGCGTAAAGCAATTTGAAGGAGTAAGATAATATTATTGATTTGATTTTTTTTTTTTGTTAAATCCTATATCAGAATATTACTTTGGAAACATAAATATATTTGGCTAAAAAATAATCATCTAGTTTTTTTTTTTTTGGAAAATAATTTCTCTTCAGAGGTTACAATTATTACTATTTTTTTCTTTCTAAAAAGCTCATGCACATTTAAGCACATATCATTTTAGTTATCTTTTTTTTTTTTGGCGGGCATCATTTTAGTTATCTGATTACGTTTAATCCAACTTAATTTTTTCCATATTTAAACTTTAATTATATCTCTTTAATAAATATTATCAAGTGTGACTTCTCGTTGTGGGCTGTCTAACTATTCTAGAGTCAACTGATTAAAAAAAATAAAAATCCCACATGCGATTTCCAAAAATTAATCACCACTGGGGGGTGGGCATATTATATTTGCCATATGGTACGATACGATTGGCTCATACCCTTTTTATTTAAAAGAACACAAGATTTTTTTCCCATTCTTTTTATTATAAAATATTCATATCGTCGCAATGACTCACTTCGAATATTAAAAAATTAAAGTTATTAATTAATATATAATTAAAAATTAAATTAAATTTTTGTTCATTCATCTTTATTATGTTAAAAAAATTAGTGCATGGATGCGGGAACAGTGATCAAAATGTCATTGTTCATCAAGTTTTTTACTCAAATACCACGCGAACAGTATTATTTTCCAATATGTCACGTGGGCAAGTTCGCTGGGCACTATAACAAACTCGATTTGCTAATTTGTCACATTTTTAGTGAACATAAGTACCAAGTTCGCTACCGGGGGTAACGAACTTGGTTGGAATGTATAATCGGGAAACGTGACATTCCAACCAAGTTCGCTACCCGCAGTAGCGAACTTGGTACTTGTATACACTAAAAACATGACACGTCAGCAAATTGAGTTCGCTACAGTGCCCAATGAATTTGCCCATGTGGCATATTAGAAAATAACACTGTTCGCGTGGCATTTAGATAAAAAACTTGATAAACAATGGCATTTTGGTCGGTGTTCCATGGATGCGCAACATATTGGTAGAGTTTTTTTTTTTTTTTTGGTCAAATAAACTTAGAATGGTCAAACCATCATCAACTCTTACCAATGATGCACGGATATTGACACGGGACACGACACAACACGCCAACACGTTAATTCTAAAAAATATCATATTTCGACACGTTGGGACACGTTTTAATATTAAATAAAATTTTTATTATATATAATATAATTTATATTTAATACATATAAGAGTCCATAATAAGTCATATAACCAATCAAATATTTAAATTTCATAACATAAATATAAAAAAATAATTTTTCGTACTTTGTTAATTTTTCATGTCAATAGAAAAAATTAATTTAAAAATTAATTTTTTTATATTTAGTTAATAAAAGAAAATTAAGATTAAAAAATAAAACGTGTCTGAGCGTTGACCACGTGTCGGAAAAAGTTGACTGCGTGTCGAAAAAAACGTGTCGAAATGTGTCAAAGAGTTAACCACGTGTCCCCAAATATTAATCGCGTGTCGGACGCGTGTCGAAACGTGTCCGACAAGAACGTGTCCGTGTCGAACACGTGTCCAACACACAAATTTTTCTTAAAGCAGCGTGTCCGTGTTTGCTTGACTCTTACTATTAATTTAATTTAATTCAAATATTATTTTTAACTATTACTTTAATTTAATTAGAAAACGACAAAAAAAATTATAAGATAAAAAATATTGTAAATATAACCTAATCCTTATTCAAAACTAATATATTTTTATCAGTTACGTTTTTTTTATACTGATCCTAATTATTTTTTTGAAACGAATCGACTCTTCGGTATTCCCACAAACTTCAGCTCTTTAAATCAATATAAGACTAATCGCGAGTCAGGCTTCACATCTTCTGTAATCTGCTAAGGAAATAGAATAAAAGATTTAGTGTGTGGAATCAACTGAAATTAAATAGTAAAAACGAATCCTAAATTACATGTATACAAATGTGTATGAGTATTATTACGGTGGAAAAATGCTTTTACCATTGATTGATTATATTATTTTCTTACATATTCAAGTTTCAAACATTGTTACCTTGCGAGGGAGTAGCCACTCTTTCTGTAATAGATGAGAGTTGTAAAAACATTATCCAAAGGGATGGGATATGGTGCACAAGTGGCAGCAACTTAGTGGAGGAAAAGATTGACACACCCCTTCTGAGGATCAGATAATTCTCCAAAATAAACAAGCAAAATACATACACAGTTTATTCAAAGCCTCTCAATCTTTGTTCTTGTCTTGTCTTTTTGCCACACTTAAGATCACCCCAGAGAGAGAGAGAGAGAGAGAAAGGAACTCATGGCTAGCTGCAACATGGCATCAGCTGCTTCAGGTTTTTTGTTGTCACTTAATGTTGCAGGCACCACAAATTCACCAGCTTCAAAAAGCACTATGGTGATGTTCCCTACAAGGAACAACAGTTCTAGTAGGTTTGTTGTCAGGGCAGAAGATGAGGCTGCAGTAACAGCCACACCTCCAGTGGAAGGTGAAGCAGCTTCAAAACCAAAGCCACCACCAATTGGCCCCAAGAGAGGTTCTAAGGTGAGTTACCCTATAGCTCAAGTTTTCACTAATAAGTATTAAGAATAGCTCTTTGTAATTTGGAATCACTTTTATCACATGAACATGATCCTTAGTGTTTGACTGTTTGTGAACATACTAGCATCCCTTTTATTTTCTTGGTCAAACTTTAAACTTCTAATAATAAGTATATCAAAGTGTTTCTTATTATAATATATAGAAACAAGGGACTGTGATGAAACTTGTCCATGCTATTAATTTGAGACTTTTGTTGTTAGTTAATAGTTTGGAAGTTGAAATTTGTGGTGAACTAGTAGTCTAACAACAAGCTTTGATTCTAATTTTTCTTTGCACTCAACAGGTGAGGATTCTTAGGAGGGAATCTTACTGGTTCAAAGACACAGGTTCAGTAGTTGCTGTTGATCAGGTTAGTGTCCCCAAAATGGTTCTCAAGAAACCCTCTCAGTTTTCAACCATCCCATGCAAACCCAATTTGTGTTTTATTGATTTGTCTTTGTTGTTGTGCAGGACCCCAAGACTCGTTACCCTGTTGTGGTTCGATTCACCAAAGTCAACTATGCAAATGTATCAACAAACAACTATGCTTTGGATGAGATTGTGGAAGTTTAATGAGTTTTATTGTAATTTTGACTCTTGTCATGCTATGCTATTGCAGTTATTAGTCTAAGGTTTTTTCATGTCATAAAAAGAATGTGTATTATATTCTCTCTAGTATTTACCCCTTGATCTCTATAAACTACATTCTGTGTGCAGTTGATCATAATCTTAAACTTCCACCGCTTCTTATTTTATTGAAATCAGTAAGTCGGCATGTTAGACCCATCAATTTAAGGCCACTGCTACAACTGAAATTGAGATAAAAACTTCCCACTCATTTGAACATGTGAAGATGAAATATGTGTATTTGTTAAGCATCTTTATGACAGTGAGGAGCAAGGTACTCTAATGTGAATGGAATGTGTGTTACTAATGATCATAGCCCCTTTGGCATAGGGTCTTTGTTATACGGAACTGAAAATATGCAAGTATGCAATTTGGTCGTTCAAAGATGATATTTGTGTTGTTTTGATTTTCAGAAATTTTCATCCATACAAAATGATACTAGAAGAGACGAACTTGGTAATAAATTGACAATTTCAAGAAGTAATTTATATAGACGAAAATTCTTTAAGAGACTAAGGCAACGAAGGTAATATCTATTAAAGATCAAATTGTATATTTATATGAAAATATATGATCCCTGCTTGACATACTAGAAGTGAAAATGAAACTAAAAATTTATTGATGAAAAACTGGTAGCGTAAATTTGTGGATTATCTCATGGTTAAGTGGTTTATAAAAAGTGAGGAGATTGGGAAACTAAAAGCTCCAATATTATGTCTCCGAAGTACACAAACAATGAACTATCAAACCGATTCTCTTTTCCAAACATTACCTTTATGGCTCTATGCTACTTACCACATGCATTCTAATTTAAATAGTGTTATTTGCAAAGAATTTCTATGCACGTAGGCTCGGATAGGTCAATATACAGACCATTGAATTTGTTGGAATTTATGTTGATAATCTATTAGTTATGAATAAGAAGTGAGTTAATAAAGAAAAGAGAAAAAGAAAGTTGAAGGGGTGTGTGGGTTAACAAGTTCCACATTAGACAACTAGTAGGAAGTGAGAGAGTTTATAAGTTCCCACCTCACTCTCCTAGATTGGCCTTTAGGTCACTACACATTTTGTGGAGGGAGAGGAGCTAGGTGGGTTTAGGTCCACCACGCGCCGCCGTCCGGCCGGCTCGGATCGGTTCAGATCATATGTGTAATAAAAATAATTTTTTATTAAATAATTTTTTAATATTTTGTCCAAAAATGTATCCGTTGCTTCCCTCTAGAATTTCGAACCCAAACGTTTCTACCCGCTGATTTTTTGAGCGTTTTTTTAACCGAACCAGTTCTTACCTTTCGCGAACCGGTCAACGGTTGTGTCTGCTCATCGAAACGGTCACCGGTTGTTTCTGTTCACCGAACCGGTGACCGGTTCACCGCCGGCGGCGGTTCATCGTGACCGGTCAGTGTCTATAAATACACACTGACACCTTCAGAAATTTATCGGTTTTTTCTGCACTGAAACTCTGCCGGAATTTTTCTCCTTCCGGTTTGCATATTCTTGTTCATACTCCGGTGTAGTTTCCTCTGGCATATTGTTGTGTTTGTTTGAGCTGTTGACTGGTAGTACCGCCACTCTTGAGACGAAATCCGTTCTATCGTGGGAGACAAGTGTCCATCTACCTTAGGCATCAGTGAGGGGGAAAATTGTCTTAAGGAGACACATTCTGTGGGCTCAGATTTTTATTCCTCCCTCTGATTCTGCATATTATCATCATTCTGTTTGTTTAATCATCTGACGTCAAGTAAGTCTGTTTTTCATTTTTCATAATTGTACAGTGATAATTCTGATCATATACTCTTCTGGTTTATACATGGGTTCAAGTCTCTTAGTGATTTAATATCACCCACTGTATTCAATAGCAGAATTTAATGAAGAAAATAAGAAAAAGGAAAGAAATGGTGATATGGATATTAGCTTGTGTTATGTGAGTTACTTTTATGTACAACAAACTTAACACTACTCGTTCACTTGTTTTTCAAGTGGCTACAAGCTAAATACTAACATCAAGCTCACCAGTTAATGCCTTTTGGCGTATAAGGTAAATATAATCATACAGGTTTTTACTTACTACAATCATACAAGAGCTAATATTATTAGCAGACAACCCTAAAAAAGGAATCTACATGATTCTATTACAGAAATGAAAAATATCAACAGTTATGTTAATAGGAAAAAAAAGGGGGGGGGGGGGGGGGGTACTGTTATCAAAAAAAAAAAAAAAAAAAAGGGGGGGGGGTACAAATATCAATTGTCCTCATTTGAGCCAATAGCCACTAAACATTACCATAGAAGCAATTTCTAAGAAGATCAAAGGAAAAAAATTTATAAAGACCAAAGTTTAATGGAAAGTGCACTATATGGAAACAAAACCAGAAATGAAAAAGAAAAGTGAAGAAACAGTGGGCTTCATTTCTTGTTTTAGGGGGAGGATGCTATGAGATATCAACCTTCAGAAGTAGAAAAACACTTCTGCTAAAGAACTCTACCATCCATGCCATCTAATAGGCCAGTCCAAATCCCCTTTACTGGTGGTAATTGTGCAACCAAAGCATTCCAAGGAGGATAACCAACGCCACTGCCACGAACACGACCATCCATGCGTAGAGACAGATACCTATACAATGAAAGAAAAAATACTGAAGTTCTTATGCAATGTTCACAGTTAACACATCCCAAATTTGAGATGGCTTCCTATTACAGGTTCTGTCCTACCATATGACTAATAACTTCATTGCAAAACTATAACCTTATATGATTGCAAACCTTTCACTTTTCAAAGGAAAGAGTAACAAAAAAAGATAGTCATGTGCATTTTCTTTAGCTGAAAAGTTAGATATCTCTACATGTTAATACTAAGAGGGATTGAACTTACACTGGAGACTCAGAGGATATCCCTGCCAACTTCTTTTGTTCATCTAACCACCTATTGACAATATATATGGGAAAAAAATTAAAAAAATTAAAAAAGTAAATTCAATTGCACATTTAGTTTTTATCTTCAAAGAGGACAAGTCTGGAGGAGCAGCAACACTGCTCCTTTGTGACCGAAAGGTCACGATTGGAATCTAGAAAACAGCCTTTTTGCAAACATGCAAGGGTAAGACTGGATAAAAGGATTGACCTAATCCTATCATTTATAGTCGAGGTTTAAGAGGGAGTGATTTTTATTTAGTTTTTATTTTCACAAACATACTCGAACCACTCAGACATATAAACCGGAGCCAGTTGCCAGAGTCTCTTCCTTCTGGTTGCAAGTTGCTTCACCTCTTCAGTCTCTTCAAACTCCAAAGCAGGTGAATTTCCATCTGTTACTAAGGGCACAACAAGCACCCCTCTGTCCAAAAGACTTTCTGTGAAAGGTTCACTGCGCTTAAAAGACTCGGTTATGAAGGATGCTGGGCCAGCACAGATTACAATACGAGCAAAACCTCTCAAAGAGTTGATAGGAATGATCTTCTTCTCATCCACGCGGAGCCTGAGATTTGATAAGCTTTCCTCTCTTGAGATCCTAGCCTCTTGTTTATTCTTTGCTTTGTTCTCTCTAAAGTACAAGAAGGCAAATAAAGATACTGCTCCAATGTCAATGCCAAGGCCTTTCAGAATATCAGGGACTTCAGATGCTCTTGATGAATTTGCCAGTGCACCAATTAGTTGTGTGGCTGCTATGAATCCGCCAAGAGAAGCACTCGCAATAAAAGCAACATAAAAGAACATCCTAACAGACCGAAAGGGAGAAAGAACTTCGCTCCTTATCTTGGCTGTAGAGCTGAAGAACAAATATGATTGATTAATGATGAAGCATCACTGGCAAATAGAACCTGATGAAAAGAAGCATTGCATAAAGAGGAGAACCCATAAGAGAAGAAATTAGAGTGAACTCTGCGTTCATTTGAGAGGTTTGCCCAAAAACAGACTGGGAAAAACAAAACAACCATGCAAAATTGCGGACAAAAAGATATATTAGATGATGCTTGTGATAATGATGATTACTTTATAACCAATTCAAAGGAAACAAATAGGAATGCTCTTAGAGATATAATATATAAAAGCACTTATATGAATTTCACTTTAACAATTTAAAATTTTGGGTTCATTTGATTTATTATATCATTTATATGGTATCACGGCCTCTATGCCCAAGCGATCATGAATTCGATCGTCACCGCATCATTCTATTAATAAATAATAAAAATTGTGCAATTTCTCAGCACAAGTAAATAGCCTGTGTATTGTCCACCCTTCAAGTTCAATGTGTTCTTGTACGAGGGGGCACATTACAGATATAATATATAAAATCATTAATTTAACCTTCACTCTTGGGTTGTGTTCCAGATGGCCCAACGACATAGTGGCCCAATGGTCTAAGCCCAAACCCCCTATCAACGTCAGCCCTACCAACTCTCAGCCTCACTACCCCTAATACGATGGTGCTCCCTAGGTGAGACACCAAAATGTCTCATCTTGGGATTATAACTCCCAAGGAGACTGCCCCAAGTACCATAAGAGGTAACTGCCCTTTGTCACATGCTGACATCGCCAGGCAGAGGGGATGCATCACTGCTACCATAGCAGCGCCTGCCACCCTTAGCAGTGCCTGCTACCTTTAGCGCCTGCCACCCTTAGCAAATCCCAAGGAGGGTTGACTCCCTCCTCATCAACCCATACAAGATCAACATCACCTTCATCTATAAATAGGAGCTCTTCATACAGAGAAAAGGTATCTTATGTATCGTTATTCTACCCATTTTATATTGAGTCACTTATACACACACCTGAATCCATTATTATCTGCTTGCACCATACTTGGAACAGTGCCTTTTAGCTTGGTCTCTACTTGTGCTAGAGGTATCATCCATAAAGTGACTCCATCCCCAACAGGAATATAGTGGGCTTATAGATCCCAACGGTACAGGTTGAATTGTTGCAAGGGGAAAGATCCGTTTACAATTTTTTTTTACGAATTACACTAAGTATGACCGGTCATACACTCTTGATTGAAGTATGACTGGTCAGACATAGTGTAATTTGTAAGAGTTTGTAAACAAAAAGTTTGTAAATATAACTTTCCCGTGTTTCAATACTTAAGTGACAATCTTTATACTTGATGCTCAAAACCTCAAAACATAAGCTCACGAGTCTTTTCACTTATTATATCCTACTTTCTTAATATATTCCCAACAAATACGTAACTTTATAACTCACACTTAATTCCCAACACAATCCTCACTACCAATTCATTGTTATTTTCCTTCCATGCCTATTCTACATGTTCTATTTGTATATGGTATGTGTGGTCATGCTCATGCATGCATCTCTACATCCGATTGCAGTTAAATTACTGGTATAACATACTTTAATATAACAAACTAACATTCCAAAAACCACCATAAACTGTTAGAACAGTAAATTATCCTTAAAGAGGAATTTTTTTTTTTTTTTCCAAAAAATCAAGAAATGGGAAAGAGAGAAAAGGGTACCTGATTTCAGACGAAGAAGATGGTTTATTGGCAGCAGAACAGACAATAGTGGCAAAAGAAGCTCTTTGGGGTGAATAGGACAGAGTATGTCCATAGCTGACACTTGAGCCACAGAACATAAACTTAAGATTAGTACAATGATTGGTGATAAGGTTAAGAGGTTGTGTTGTGAGAGTGAGATACGAAGTGTTGGAGTTATGAGTTACTGAACCGAACGCTAACGCCATGGTTCGGTTCTTGAGTGAGAATTCAGTTTGCCATTTGCAAGAGGTGCAACAGAACTAACTGATTCTGAGGTCGCCCATGTTCTTATTTGCATGATTCTGGTTTTGCCACGCTTACCATATATCACCCAGAACCAGAATCCATAATTATTATTTTGAAAATAAAAAATAAAAAAAATAAAGATTTTTAGAAAGGAAAATGATGGGCAATACTCTTTCTAAAAAGTTTTCAGAAAAAAAAGACCGGTAATACCTATTTTGTAAAAAAAAAAAAAATTAAAAATTATAACTGTTTTGTTATTTTTAAAACTAAATTTATAGAATATATATGAGTTATTTTTGTTTTGTGTTTTAACTTTTAATTTTTAAAATAAAAAAATACAGCCAACGCCTATTTCATTAACTATTCTATAAAATAATTAAAAAAAAGAGAAAACAATCAAATAAACCGGATGTTTCTGGATGCAGGATGAATATAAGGATAACATCGAATATAGGTTTGATTTGAATTGCTAATCTTCGTACTTCCTTTGAATATTAGCAAGTTCAATATTTTATTTTTAAAAAATATTCATCAAGTTTTTTTTTTTAAAAAAAAAATATTTTAATTTATTATTTTTAATCATTTATGTTTTACTCATTCAATAAGAAAATATAATTAAAAATTTTATTTTAATGAAGAAAGAAAATAATTTTATTACTGGTTCTACTAATTATTATTAATAATTAGCTTAAATTTTTTATTAAAATATGTAATAATAGTTAATAGATATGATTCAATCGTGATAGAAAGACAAAATAAAAAAATATAAGAAATAGAATGAAAAGATAACTTTCAAATAAAAATAAAAATAATTAAAAATATTGTATACATTATATATCAATTGAAAATGTTATATTTTTTTATCACATATAAATTAATTAATTCATATTTTGTAAATTATGCATCAATTTTTTAATTGCAAATTATATTTTAATTATTTCATACGATGTGTTTTTTAAAATTTCTAACTTTTAATTGTTGAATAAGTTATATATATATATATATATATTAAATAATATTACATGATTTTAATATAAATCAGATAATTAAAAATTAAAAATAATGATCCGGATTAGAATAAAGTCATATTCATTATGCATTAAAACAAAACATAAGTATTTCCATGTTACCATGATTAATTTATTTTTAAAAAAAAATACTTACACAGAGAAAATAGTGTGAACGAACAACTTGAGAAATTACATTTGACTTTTCACATACTTTATAACATATGACCATTTGCTTTCTCATGACATTTAACTAATGATGTGTTGAATTGCAATTATTTCAATAATTATGTTTAGGGTCCTATATAAGGACATCTTAGATAAAAAAAAAAAATATGCTTGGAGAATTCAGAATATAGTAATATAGTAATATTTTCTTACCTTTAAAGCTTATTCTTGTTCTTCCTTTACTTTTCTTTTTTACGCTTTATTTTTACTTTCTTTCATATTACCTATTAATTTCACAACAGTCACAACTTTTCCATTTTCCTATGTCTTTTCCTTGGAAATCATTCACTACTAATTACTTAGTTTTATTGTATGTGCATGTATAAATCCATACCACAGCCAGAAAGTAATAACTTTTTATGCCTACTTAAAATGCAGCATGCAACTTCATAATTAGTGTAAATAGTGTGCACAAAAAAAGTGATATAATGTTCAGAAAGCAACTTAAAGAAAATACATCTCTATCAAAGCTTTCCTATTTTCCTATGTATTATTTGCTACTAATTATTTAGTTTAATTGTGTGTGCATGCAATAATCCATACCCATGGCCCAAAGTAATAACTCTCATCATGCCTATTCAAAATTTCATGCGAAAGGATTCAATATTTTGCATTGATGGAAAATGAAACAGCTAAGATATCATACGTATATATAAATATATATTACTCTTGAGTTCTCCAAATAAAAAAACAAGAGTCAGTGAGAGCAAAAGAGAAAATTCAAACGTTTCAATGGTAATTGCTTTTAAGATGAGCCGTTTTCTTTTGGCATTGGGAATCATTTTGGCTATGGTCCCTCTAACTATTTCAAGTGCTTCAAGTTTTTCAGCAAGTAAAGTGAATTTGTTTCCTGAATTCACAAAGTGGCACATATATGTTGTGAATGGCTTGAGCAACAATCAGAACCTGTTCACCGAATGCAAATCAACAGAAAATGATTTGGGCACCTATAACCTATCTCCAGGTTCCAATTTCACTTGGAGTTTTAGGACTAATTTCATCCACTCAACGCTATTTTGGTGCCATGTGAGCAAAGACAATGCTTCTGCTTCATTTGAGGTCTTTTGGTATGATGCTCATCTTTTCAACAAGTGTGATTGGAAGAATTGTATTTGGGTTGCTAAAGAGGATGGGATTTACCTAATAGATTTCAGTGAACATGTTGAGGAGTTATACTATATGTGGGGTGTTGAGATGTGAAGATGGTGTTTTTTATTTTTCTTAGTTTTTGCTTTTCAATAAATCATCAATCATTAAATGTGTGCCATGCAAGTTAGAAAAAGTTATTGGTTAAACAGTTGAATTTTCAATTTCCTCTATCTCTCTCTATGTTGTTATTCTCTTGCCTTTATCATCAAGAGTTGTTTGCTTATTACAAGTAATTTTGTTCTCAATATTCCTCGTAGTGTTCACCAATTTCATGTGATCGGAGTGTTCAAAGGGTTTGCAGCAAATATAGAGCATTAATTCTTCTGTTACTATCTCTCAGGCATTTCAAAAGGCTAATTCTTTTCTTTTCTTCCTTTTTTTTCCCTTTCCTTTTCATGTGTAATTAATATTATTTTCTCATTTCATCTCTGAAAAGGTATAATAAAGAGAAAATGAATAAGAAAACAACTTGTTGATGCTCATTGTGCGATGAACAATAATGTTAAACAAAAAGATCGAGAAGAATCATTAACTAATTGAGAAGAAAAATATAAATATACCCATTAAATAATTAGTATATAAAAGAATACTTAAAAGAGTTGAATATATTAATATTTTGAGAATAGAAATTGAAAACAATCCCAACTCCATTTAACCACTCTTCTATGTACTCAATTTTCAACCAAACATGTCTGACAGACATTGAATGTATCAGCATTTTTAGCATTAGTCGATAAAGTAACAAATTGTGAAGGAATCAGGTTCAATGGCTCAGCTCTCTGTATTTTTTGCATTGGCTTCTAATAGCAAAGGTTCAAGTTCTCCTTTCCGGTACAACTTCAGTGTATCTGCACCAGTTAAAAACAAATGTTGCATTATTAGACTTCAGGTTCATATACGAAGACAATTTACATTTGCAGTTTAAGACATTTTGCAATAAGAGTGGTCAATAAGAATGTAAAAACAAATAACGCTCCAATATCTGTGGAAAAAAATTGATGTTTTGAATTGCAGAGACATCCCCACTCAGATAATCAATAATATGAAAGACAATAACACAAGGAAAATATACCTGTACAGCCGCCAATGTGTTTGCCACCTGTAATAAAGAACTTTAGGGTCAGTTCCACTTGAAAGAAAAAATCAAAGATCTTTTGTATTTTTGGAGAAATTATAGTTAGATAATATAAGGACGCAATACATGATACATTGTTCAAGGCACAGAAAGAATTGAAATAGTGTATGCGGACTTTACTGTGAGAACTTTCAGCGATTGTGAATGGTGAGCGTGGCTAGGTTTTAAGTTGGATTTTGAGAAAGCTTATGATTCAACATGATTCACCCACTCACATGTGAACAATCCTAAGATGTCACAACTAAATCTTTAGGATTAGATTGATATCAATTAATCGAAAATTGAGACTCTCCAGATGATGCAATAGGAACACGGAAGGAGGAGACAATTCGAAAGTCTAATGCTACTGTAGATATTCTGATAGGATTGACCTACTGGTAGAACAGAACAAGAAGAGAGATGAGAAAAAAGAATTCTTATTCAGAACAATGTTGATTACAATTCAGATGATTCTCTTCACATTCAACTTCCTATTTATACAATCATAACCCAGCTAACAGAATTTCCCTAACTAACACATATGCTACTCTTTTCTTTTTTTTTAAGAACACATATGCTACTCTTTGATTTACATAACAGAATACTAATCATGGTTACTGCTATAGTAACCCTGCTCCTACCACATGTAGTTCTCCCCATCTAGTCTTCTCGGTCTCCTTTTGGATCTCCTTGGCATGTCTCCTTCCATCGTCTCCATTGGGCTCTCTTGCTGAGCTTGTATTTGCTCAGCCTTGCTTTCCTCTTCATGTGAGTGATTTGTGGTTAATATCACTCGATCCACTGTTTCTTCTAAACACGTGTATGGACCTGTTTCAATGGGAGTTGTTGTGTCGGTTATTGGGCTTGTGGTGTCGGTTGTTGGGCTTGGGTTCATTGGGCTCATATCAACACCTCCCCCATTAAAATTAACCTTGTCCTCAAGGTTGAAAGAAGGGTATTGGACCTGGAAATCCTCCCAAGGTTCCCATGTGGATACATCAGTCGGCATGCCATCCCATAGGACTTGTACCCACTGCACTTGTTTATCTTCGAGCTGCTCCACACGGGTAGCTAGGATTTGCTTGGGTTCCATCACTGGTAGTCCTCCACGGACTATATCAGGTACAGGCAAGGATTGTATGGTACTGTCCCCACAAAAAGGTTTCAGTAAAGAGACATGAAAAGTATGGTGGATTTTGGCATGTGAGGGCAATTTCAACATGTATGCCACTGCTCCCACTCTTTTCAAAATTTCAAAAGGCCCAAAATATCTCCTGGCTAGCTTATTAGAAGACCTGTGAGCAAGTGATGTCTGTCTATATGGCTGTAACTGCACCCAAACAAAGTCACCTATCTTGTACTGCACATCTCTTCGGTGTTGATCCACCCTGTGTTTCATAGAATCTTGTGCTTTCTGCAAATTAGCTTTCAACTCTTGCAGAATGATTTGTCTATCTAATAAAAGCTGCTCCACTTCTATGGGTGCTGTGGTGGAAGGAACATAATCCAAAATAGTAGGAGGATCACGCCCAAAAACAGCCTTGAAGGGAGACATTCCAGCTGAACAATGATAAGTAGTATTATAACAAAATTCTGCCCAATGTAATACCATTGACCATCTCTTTGGAAAGTCAGCCACAAAACATCGAAGATATTGCTGCAGAATGCGGTTCACCACCTCAGATTAACCATCTGATTGTGGATGATAGGCCGTTGTTCTCCGTAATTGGGTACCACTTCTCTCAAACAATTCAGTCCAAAACTTACTAAGAAACACCGAATCTCGATCTGAAATGATGGACCTAGGGAGACCATGCAATTTGCAAACTATATGTGTGAATAAATCTGCCACCTTGGCAGCAGTATACTTTTGTGGCAGGGAACCAAAATGGCCTTGTTTGGATAAACGATCAACAACCACTAGAATGGTAGTATGGTCACGAGATAAAGGTAATCCTGTAATAAAGTCCATTGACAAGTCTTCCCATATTCTCTGTGGTATAGGAATAGGCTGCAACAAACCAGCTGGAGGCTGAGTTTGATACTTGACTTGCTGACAAACTGAACAAGATTGGACAAACTTCTTGACATCTTGTTTAAGGCCAGGCCATTTGAAGGATGCTGTTACCCGAGCCATGGTTTTTTGAATACCCGAATGTCTATTGGCCAGAGTAGAATGAAACTCCTGTATAATTTGTTGAACCAAGGGAGAAGAGGGATCAATAAGGAGTTTTCCTTTTTCCAATAACAACCCATTTCTGACTTCCAAAGAGCTACTGTTATCATCAGACATAGACAGTTTGTTGTACTTCTCTTGGAAGAAGGCAGAATGCAAATTCTCTTGCTGTAATTTTTCCAGGAGATCCACTTGCACCACAGATTGTGTTGTGAAAGACAACTGTGTAGGGTACCGAGAGAGGGCATCAACCACCCTATTATCCTTTCCAGGTTTATAGACAATTGTATACTGAAAGCCTAAAATCTTGGCCAAGTAGTGCTGCTGTTCTGGTGTTTGGATTATCTGATCCAACAATGCCCTTAAACTTTTTTGATCAGTTCTGATGAGGAATTTTCTGCCCAAAAGATATTGCCTCCACTTTTTAACTCCCTCTGTTATGGCATATAATTCCCTGACATAGGCAGAAGCCGTTTGCATTCTTAAGGTCAATTTCTTGCTAAAATAGGAAATGGGATGCTCATGTTGAAGGAGGACAACTCCAATACCCAAATCTGAAGCATCTGTTTCCACTACAAACTCTTGAGTGAAATCAGGTAAGGCCAGAACTGGGGTTGAAGTCATTGCAGTCTTGAGGTGATTGAAAGCATGTTGTGCCTTCTCATTCCATTGAAAAGAATCCTTCTTGAGCAGGTCCGTGAGAGGGGCAGCAATTGAAGCATAACCACTAACAAATCTTCTATAATAGCCTGTAAGGCCCAAGAATCCCCTTAGTTGCTTCAAGTGTGTAGGGACTGGCCACTCCAGCATGTCTTTGATTTTATTATGGTCCATACTGACCCCAGAGACTGAGACTATATGCCCCAAATATTCTACCTCTTTTTGGCCAAAAGAACACTTACTTCTTTTAACAAAAAATTGATGTTTTTGCAAGGTAAACAGAACTGAACGCAGATGATGCAAATGTAACTCCAGAGAAGAGCTATATATTAATATATCATCAAAGAAAACAACAACAAAACGACGAAGAAAAGGCTGTAAAATCAAATTCATAGTAGCTTGGAAGGTGGAGGGGGCATTTGTGAGGCCAAATGGCATCACAAGGAACTCATAATGTCCTTGGTGTGTGCGAAAGACAGTTTTATGGATATCAGTGGGAGTGACACGAATTTGGTGGTATCCCACCCTTAAATCCAACTTAGAAAAAATTTGGGAACCCCCTAACTCATCCATCAGTTCATCAGCAGTAGGGATAGGAAATCTATCTCTAATTGTAATACTATTTAAAGCACAATAATCAATACAAAATCTCCAGGATCCGTCCTTTTTTTTTACTTATAAAACAGGGGAAGAAAAAGGACTATTACTATTTCTAATGAAACCAGACTCAAGCATTTGAAGCACTTGTTTTTCTATTTCATTTTTTTGGAATTGAGGGTACCTGTATGGTCTAACATTGACTGGTTTGGAGTGAGGCTCCAAGTGTATGGCATGATCCAGCTGTCGATGAGGTGGTAAATCCTTTGGTTCCTGGAACACACAAGCAAATTCTTCCAACAATTGTGCCACCTGGTGGTCCAATGCAGTTTCGGTTCTGTTTGTATATGAGTCCAGAAGAGTCAATTGGAATAAAGAGGCCACTTGACCTTGCTGCTGCATTTTCTTGAACTGATTGAAGGACACTGGAGATTGATGTTTGTCCCCTTGTAGCTGAATTGAAGCACCATCCCAAGAAAACTCCATAGTGAGTTGGTTTGTAATCGAGGACAATAGGACCGAGGCCTTGTAGCCATTGCACACCAAGCACCAAGTCTGCCCCTTGTATGGGTAAGACATAAAAATCAATCAAAAAAATGTGCTTCTGAATTTGAACAGGAACAGCAGGACAGAAACCTTCACCCTTAAGCATGTGTCCATTGCCAACCATCACATCAAACTGTCGATCAGATGACAGTGGAAGGCCTAATGAAGATGCTACCTTCGGTTGGAGGAAATTGTGTGTGCTCCCCCCATCTATTAAGACCACCATAGCAGACTTACCAATATGTCCTGTGAATCGAAGTGTTTGTGGAACAACACAACCAGATAAGGCATGAAAGCTTATTTGGGGTGTGGATGGATCAAAGGAAGTGTGATCTTCCTGAATTAAGTCACTTACAGGCTCTGTGATGTCTGCCTCTGTAGAGAGCAACAATTCCTCATCCGGCACAATCAGTATATGAACGGAAGCTTTACATTTATGCCCAAAGAAATACTTGTCACCACAAGTAAAACACAAATTTTTATCCCTACGTTCTTGTATTTGGCTTTGGGATAAACGGTGGGTGGTGGGTTTGAATGTAGTATTCTGGCTATTGGTAGTAGAAGGTGTGGAGTTGGTGGATGTTGATGGGTTAGGCAGTAATGGAGGGTGTGGGGAATATAATTTGGGGTAGGTATTTTTGTATTGCAGTTTTGATTCCTGAATTTTGGCTAGGGATATGGCACTAGTTAAGGTGGTAGGGCGAAACGATTTTACCTCTTGTTGAATCACAGGTTTAAGGCCAGAAGTGAAACAACTAAGGAGAAAGGATTCAGAAAGACCAACGACCTTATTAGACAAGGTCTCGAATTCCTCCTGATATTCGGTGACAGAGCCTCTCTGTGTCAACTTGGATAACTTGCCCTGATAATCTTCCAATTCGGAGGGTCCAAATCGAACCTGCAGAGATTGCAAAAAGGAATCCCAAGATTCAATCTTGGTATTTTTGTGGAGCCACTGATAGAAGGATAGAGCCTTCCCATCGAGATAAAAGGAAGCTATACGAAGGCGTTGACCTTCCTCAATGTCATGAAAATCAAAATACTGATTGATTTTGTAAATCCAACCTTGTGGGTCAGAAGAGCCATCGAACCGAGAAACTTTGATGCGAAGATTACGCGTTGCTGTGGAATCACGATTGTGCACTGTGTTGCTGTGTCCAAAAGAAGATGGAGAGTGGGTACGCTCCCTGTAACTATCAAAGATCGCGTCCAACTTGCATGTAATTTCTTGGAATTTCTTGTGCATCTGGTCCTTCAAACCTTCAACCTCCGATTGCGTTTGGTCCACACGATCGTCGATTGAACGAGCACGTGTCTCGGGAGCCATCGTTCAAGGATGAAAGCACCACTTGATAGGATTGACCTACTGGTAGAACAGAACAAGAAGAGAGATGAGAAAAAAGAATTCTTATTCAGAACAATGTTGATTACAATTCAGATGATTCTCTTCACATTCAACTTCCTATTTATACAATCATAACCCAGCTAACAGAATTTCCCTAACTAACACATATGCTACTCTTTGATTTACATAACAGAATACTAATCATGGTTACTGCTATAGTAACCCTGCTCCTACCACATGTAGTTCTCCCCATCTAGTCTTCTCGGTCTCCTTTTGGATCTCCTTGGCATGTCTCCTTCCATCGTCTCCATTGGGCTCTCTTGCTGAGCTTGTATCTGCTCAGCCTTGCTTTCCTCTTCATGTGAGTGATTTGTGGTTAATATCACTCGATCCACTGTTTCTTCTAAACACGTGTATGGACCTGTTTCAATGGGAGTTGTTGTGTCGGTTATTGGGCTTGTGGTGTCGGTTGTTGGGCTTGGGTTCATTGGGCTCATATCATATTCAAACTTTGAGAAAGGTCTCAAGGCAAGAATACTTGCAGAAAAGGGAGGAAAAGAAATTAGAACAACTCAGAGATGATATAGAAGATGAACAATATCTATTTGATGGTGTGAAGCTTTCAGAAGCAGAATATAGTGAGCTTAGGTACAAGAAAGGGATATTTGAACTTGCGAAGAAGAAGAAGCTGTCGGAGGAGGCAGACAATGTGAATGAGTATGGAATGCCAAATGCTTATGATCAGGAAGGGGGTTTCAATCAGGAAAAGAGATTTTTTGTGGCTATGCAGTGCTACAGAGATCCAAATGCTGAGGATAAGATGAATCCATTTGCTGAACAAGAGGCATGAGAGAAACATCAAATTTTGGTTTCAAGTCTCTCATGACTATCAGTTTGTGTTTAAGGACCAAATTAATTTTATCAAGGAATGAGTGATGGACGGATATAAGTCGGATTATGAAGAGATGTCAGATTCACTAGAAAACAAGTCCAGAGCAAAGTTAACTTCAGAGGCACTTCAGGACGAGAGGAAAAAGTTACACATTTATCCTTATCGGGATGAATTGCTCCAAGCAGTTACTGATCATCAAGTACTTGTGATTGTGGGTGAAACTGGTTCTGGAAAGACTACACAGATTCCCCAATATCTTCATGAAGCTGGCTACACAAAGCGTGGAATGAATGCAAGTACTCAGCCACTACGTGTTGCTGCTATGAGTGTTGCGGCTTGAGTTTCTCAAGAAATGGGTGTTAAACTAGGAAGTGAGGTTGGTTACTACATCCTTTTGAGGATTGCACATCAGAGAAGACTATACTGAAATATATGACAGACGGAATGTTACTGAGAGAATTACTAGGTGAGCCGGGATCTAGCAAGTTATAGTATTGAGATGGTGGACAAGACTCATGATAGAACACTCTCAACTGACATTTTGTTTGGATTAGTAAAGGATATTGCTCGTTCCAGGCCTGATCTTAAGTTGCTGATATCAAGTGCTACACTTGATGCAAAAGAAGTTCAGTGACTACTTTGATTTTGCACCAACTTTCAAAATTCCAGGTAGATGGTATCCTGTTGAAATAAACTTTACCAAAGCACCAGAAGCTGACTACTTAGATGGGGCTATTGTCACGTCACTTCAAATCCATGTCTCTGAACCTCCTGGAGATATATTGGTATTCCTTCCTAGTCAAGAAGAAATTGAAACAGCTGACGAAATCTTGAAGAATCGAACTAGAGGTTTGGGGACTAAAATTGATGAGTTAATAATATGCCCTATATATGCTAACCTACCAACTAAGCTACAAGCTAAAATATTTGAACCTACTCCTGAAGGAGCTCAAAAGGTTATCCTTGCTACTAATATTGCAGAAAGTCATTGACAATTGATGGGATCAAGTATGTCGTTGATCCAGGGTTCTACAAGATGAAAAGTTGTAATCTAAGAATGGAGTCCTTGTTATTAACTCCCATCTCAAAAGATTCAGCAATGCAAAGAGCTGGTCGTTCTGGAAGAACAGGTCCTGGAAAGTGCTTCCATTTGTACACTGCATACACTTTTCATTATGATTTGGATGATAACCCTGCACGATAAATACAGCATACTAACCTTGCTAGTGTAGTTTTAACTTTAAAACGTCTTGGTATTCATGACTTGTTGCACATGCACTTTGATGTTATGGATCCTCTACCTGCTGAGAACTTGTTGAAAGCCCTGGAGCTTCTATATGCGTTAAGTGCAATAGATAAGCTTGGTGAGTTAACTGAGGTAGGTAAACGGATGGCAGAGTTCGCACTTGATCCTATGTTGTCAAAAATGATAGTGGCTTCAGAAAAGTACAAGTGTTCAGACGAGATCATTTCTATTGCTGCTATGCTTTCAGTTGGCAACTCAATATTTTACCATCAAAAGGATAAAAAAGTACATGCAGAGAATGCAAGGCTGAATTTTCACACTGGAAATGTTGGAGACCATATTGCATTGCTACAGGTATACCGTTCATGGAAGGAAACCAATTATTCAACACAATAGTGTTATGAAAATTATATACCGGTAAGGAGTATGAAACAGGCTAGGGATATCCGTGACAAACTTGCAGGTCTTTTAGAGAGGGTTGAGATTGAGCTAACTTCAATTTCTAATGATTTAGATGCATGACTGCAAAAGAAATCCATAACATTTGGATTTTTCCCACACACTGCACGACTGCAAAAGAATGGATTATATCAAACTGTTAAATATCCACAGACTGCTCACATACATCCTAGTTCGGGGCTGGCACAGGTTCTTCCTTGATGGGTTGTATACCATGAACTAGCACTCACAAGTCACAACTAAGGAATATATGAGATAGGTCACACAATTAAAGCCCTAGTGGTTGGTGGAGATAACCCCCCACTATTACCAGCTTAAAGAAGTTGAAGATGCGTACTAAAACAAGATGCCTCGTGGAAAAGGACGTACATAGTATAACATACAGCTGGGACGTCTTTATAGTTTTCATCTCACACTTGCAGAGAGATTGGACAGACCTAGTGCATTATTAGTTTTTCTCTTTATGCTTTATTCGTTTATAAACCCTTTTTTTGTTCTGCCATCTGTGTGCTTTTAGAGGATACCTTATTCTTGCCTGATTGTAATAACTTCTCTTCTCTCAAACAAAATTTCATTTTTTACTAAAAAAACAGTGAACACTTTCACAGCTTCTCTCTCTCTCTCTCTCTCTTCTTGCACAAACATAAACTTAGTTTCATAAATATTAGTTAATAAGCATATTCACTGTGCCTTCAAACCATAAGTGCTTATTATATGTTCTATATATCATATCATATAACTTTCTACTTATACCTTATACTATATTACAGCTCAATTTGAACTTACACCAAAGTTTGTAGAAGAATTTGCCAATCTATAAAGTTTTAATAACATAATGAGCATGTGTGAAAGAATGAAATATATAAGTAGATAAGCTCATATTCTGTAATCTTTATTATTTTCGTTGTGTTAAAATTAGAGCTGATATTTCATGAAAGGAACAACATATTATCACAGCCTAAATTAAAGTTCTCTAACTTTTCATTTTTTCAAAAAACAATCTGAATCATTGACAAGAAATTTGAAAACTGACAAGGAGCAAGACACCACATCAGCACCTTACTCAAGATGAATTTACAAGCTAAAGACATGCATCTGTCCAGCAGTCAACTATATATGCATCTAATGGCTTCCCTTCGTCAATGACAAGATGTCTGGATGCATCAGGGGAAGATGCTCCATAGGGGAGCGCGTGGCAAATATGTAGCTTATCAACGGAAAAATAAATATCCACGGGTTATGGTAGTTTCTCATAGCATTTGATCCACCACTAGTGACAAGAAACCACTATTGATAAATGCTAATGACATAACTATTTAATTGACACTGAGTCACTGATTGTTTGTTTGAGCATGATAAGTAACAATAATGCAACAGAGAAGGTTCTCACCAATAAATACATTTGGCACAGTGTATTGCCCTGTAAGCCTTTCCAATACCTTCTGTAACTGTGGCCCTTGTGGACCTAAAGACAAATATATATTTAAGATACCAAAACAAATAAAATAAAAAAACACAAATGATAAGGTGAAGAAAATGTGTCATGCAGATTGATTTTCCCATTTATGTTCACGAGAGAAGGTATAAGAAAGTTGAAAATGAGTTTACCAAAAAGAAAAAAAATGAAAAGTGAGACTGAGGATTTAAGTGAATTTCTATCATCAGTGAAAAAGTTAAATGACAATGCACTCCACTAAAAAAAATAACCAAGAGGAAGGTAAGACACTATTTAAGAAGCCATCAAGAGATTAGATTTCAAAACTAAATTTGTAAATAAAACCTGAGTTGTCAAATTTTGTGGAAGCAGATCCTCTCATGTGTTATTTAACATGGCTATATCATGCGAGAGAAACCTAACTATGGACAAATTAATGGTAATGATTTTAACACACCCTATCCCATCATGTTTTCTCTAACAAAATCATCACATTTTATTTAAGATTTTTCTAATGGTATGGCCATGTTGTTAAATAACAAGAGGATCCATTCCCAAATTTTGTTGCCATTCATCCATTCATCCAAGAAATATGTATTAACTAACCACTACTAGCACCACCATACAATCTTCATGGTTCCAAACCCATCCTCACATACAATAGTTAGGGTTCAGTGAAAAATTTAAGTTTAGTAAGATACATGATAGAGAACGGAAGTTGAATTACCCATTTCGTCCAATTCAATAACCAATGGGTTGACACCGACCTTCTTGAACAATGACTTCACCTCAGAAGAATACCTTTCACAGAAAAAAAAAAAAAACATAAATAAATAAATATATATATTTTTTAATTCTAAAATCATAGGGAATGCAGAAGCAGAATCAGTTAATAAGAAACTCACGAGCACCAGGTTTTGGAATAAACGACAACTGGGTTGTCAGCAACTGTTTTCTTAATGGTCTCTTCGAGGCGAGACCCAAAAGAAGAAGAAGAAGAAGAAGAAGAAGAAGAAGACATGGCTCGAACCGAATTAGTTGTGCACCTTACATTGATGCGGAAATTGGTGTTGGTTTTGGAAATGGGTAGGGAGAAAGCGAAGAACTTGGTGATTGAAGAAGAGGAATGAGAAGGGTTCAAGAGAGGAAGAGTGAGAGTGTTCGCGAATGCCATACCCATTCCCTTCACAATGATTTCAGTTCTCTGAAGCTTTTAGTTTCAGTTCAGCTGGCACTTGTCACAATGATTTCAATTACAGATTAATATAACCCATTTTATCCAATTTCATAATCATTTGATAACACCTAATAAGACACGGTATTTATATAGATTTTATCTATTTATAATGGGTTTATTATAAGATAAATTTATCTCATATACACACCATACACACATATACTCTAACTGACAATTGTGTTGCACCGACAACGACCGACACGACGAGTTTGACACGTTAATTCTAAAAAATATTAGACTTCAATACGTTAGGATACGTTTTGATATTAAATAATATTTTTAATATATATAATATAATTTATATTTAGTACATATAACAGTCCATAATAAGTCATATAACCAATCAAATATTCAAATTTCATAACATAAATATAAACCAAAAATAATTTTTCATGCCTTGTTAATTTTTCATGTTAAATTCCAGAACAGAAAATATTTGATTTATAAATTAATTTTTCGTATTTAATTAAAAAGATAAAATAAAATAAGACTTGGATCTAAAAAAAAAAGTGTCGAAAAATGTTCAAAAAATTGATTGCATGTCAGATGTCTGTCAAAATATGTCAAAGCGTGTCAATGTTCAACATGCATTTTTCACTTTAAATAACGCATTCGTGCATGGTGACAACCTCACCATTTACTATTGTCATTACTTATGTTGCACTGATACAGGATACGACACGATACGACACTCTTATACGTTAACTCTAAAAAGTGTTAGATTTCGACATGTTAGAACACGTTTTGATATTAAATAATATTTTTAATTTATGTAGTGTATATTATATTTAATAAGAAAATGAAGTAAACTTATAATACTCATCAATTTTACAAAGAAACATAAGATATCACAAATATTTATATTAAACTCAATAAGATGGTAATCGTATTCCAACGAATCTAATAATTAAAATAAAAAATACAAAGCAACGCAATCTTTGAACTTTTTTTGAAGGGAAAAATGTTTCTGCAGTTACTGCAGATAACTTATCTGTATTTATTCCCAAAACAACGTAGTTTTGGTATTGAAATCTTAAAAAATTATAAATCTAAAGACTATTATAATCCTGAAATAAATTAAAATTACAAAAATACCATGATTTCCGTCCCAAAACGACGTTGTATTGGACTTACCGCAGATAACTTATTTGCAGTAACTGCAAAAAATAAACTCTTTTTTGAATCTATGCAATGTAAGTCGGAATGTCGGAAAATGTAAAAAAAAAATCAAACACACAGTATATCAATTTTTTTGAAGTGTAGGTCATCATATCTTTCTCAATATCCTCGCTACCACTTGTCCATATTACACATCCTCTCTATCAGTGAGTTCGTCATAAACTTAAAGTTTAAATTTCCTCTTTAATTTATGTTTTGTAAGTTATTATTATTTTTTGTTATTATGTTGTTTTTATATATTTGTACACTAAAGAATAAATGATAATAATTTATCATTTTTAATTTGGTTCAACTTTATTTTATCCCATATGGTAAATATCTGACTTAATAATTATCAATAATAATTATTATTATTCGGCGTAACCACGTTACTGTCTTACTGGTGTGTGATTGTGACATATATTTGCCGTGAACATGGCTGTGTTACTGTGTACGCAGTTCTAGTTCATTTCAAGGTACCTTTTTAATTTGGCCCCATCATGTTAACAAGCCAAAAGTTTTTGTCAGCTTTAAAAAAATAATAATAAAAGTGATCACAAGAATGCATATACTTTTTTAATCCATAAAAAGAAGAGAGACTTGGATCTTTATGTAAGATTCTTTACATATAAGATAGTATGAATAAAAAGTATATAAAATATTCTATAAAAAAAACTCTACAGAAAAAACTTTCTTCTTCTTCTTCAAAGTTTAATAAAAACAATTGTGTGTCCAGTTTACATTTTGTTATGGATTCCTCAACCCAATCAAAGTTTGTTGGTTATGGGCTTGAGATCAAGTTGGGTCAAGGATCAAAATTCACGTTGGACTAAAATTACTTTATATAAAAGTGGGTCAGGTATAAAAGATAAATAATACTTTATATAAACCTTGTTAAGTTTACTATACTAATTACATTAATTAGTTTAATCTTAACTCATTGTTTGTCATTCAGTTTTATTCTAATATTTTACTAGATGAATTCAATTATGTTAACAATATCAAACACATCAAATAATATGACACAATTCATCGATTAATCTTAACACATTGTTTGTCATTCAGTTTTATTCTAATATTTTACTAGATGAATTCAATTTTGTTAACAATATCAAACACATCAAATAATATAACAATTCATCGATCATTATATGCGTGTAAAAAAAAATTATGCTATTAATGTATCAAAATTAACTTCATATTTTTTTTTGGATACAATTAACTTCATATTTAAAAAAGAAATAAATTAGGCTGTGGGGTTGTTACTTGTTATTGGGCTAGACCTCTTACGTTTTATCCAAATGAACTTTGGGATGATATATACCTGAGCAAAAGCCAACAATCCATTGGTTTTTACTGCAATACCAACAATATCAAGAACGAGATTAAGAGTTAAAACTGATATCTCTTGAAGAAGTTTAATGGAGATCTCGGCGATTGGTGAACCATCCGCTGAGGAGGTTGATCTCTTGAAGCGTAGTACTGACAAAGCTAAAGAAGTGTTAGGGAAGAAACCGATATCTTATAAGGATACACTCTTACAGTTGAATGGGCTGAAAGTTACGGATGACGTCGAGGAAAGGGATTGGTTTGAGGAGTTGGATGTTCATGGTATGGAGGAGGATGTTCAATCAAATGACCAAGATGATCCTTTCTGTCCTACATACAGATTTTCAAAAGAGCTATATAAGGAGAGTTGCAGGCCTTGGAAGCAAGCTGTGATTATCAAGCTCTTGGGAAAAAAGGTTGGTGTAAAGTTTCTGCTGAACAGACTCTTGAAGATGTGGAATCTGTCGGGGACACATGAGTTCATTGATATGGAGAACGATTACTTTTTGTTTCGTTTTGCGGATTTGAATGACTACAACTTTGTTTTGGAGGAAGGGCCTTGGATTGTGGCAGACCATTATGTTTCTGTTCAACGGTGGCGACCATTATTTGATCCTTACGAGGACAACCTTAAAAAATTAGCTGTTTGGATCCGTATTCAGGGGTTACCTATGGAGTTCTATACCTCCCAACATTTGCGGAACATAGGTGATCTATTTGGGAAAACACTGAAGATTGATAGGAACTCTATACGTAAAAGTGATGCTGGTGATGGGGTTGTTACGGAAAGGGCCAAGTTTGCGCGTATTTGCGTAGAAGTAGATCTCAGTAAAGGCTTCTTGTCTAAATTCAATCTCATTAATAAGGTTTATACGGTAGGGTATGAAGGCCTTCACATGATCTGCTTTGCATGTGGTAAGTATGGGCATAGGCGTGACACTTGTTCTTCGGTTTCGGTGTCAACCGATAGTCATTCTCACCAAAAGGATGTTCGTGCAGAGGTTGTTAACAATGGTGTCAGGCGTGAGATGGCAGAAGGTGAAGCTTTTGGTTCTTGGATGATTGTCCAAAGGAGTCAACGGGGAAGGAAGGCAAAAGCTACCATGGAGACTGCCGCAATCAATGCTGCCGCAATCAATGCTACCGCAATCAATGCAGCCGGGAATCAGGGGTCATCCGTTACAACTGGCCAAAGGAGAATTAATGCTCAAGGAATAAATCATTCTGTTTCACGTCCAGCTAAAATTAAGCAGCAGAAACCCGATAATCATGTGGGAATTAAATCGGCTACAATGATTAATGCAAAAAATAACGGTTCTGGAGCTTCAAAGGTGGTGTCTTCAACGGCTGGATCAAGATTTTCAGTTATTTCTGACGAAGTTAATGATAATCATGATGTTAATTATGAGAATATTCAAATCATTAATGATAAGCATGGCCCCTCTAAGGTAACCGCTAGTGCTGATTTGAAAAAGGGTTTAAATAATAAGATTTCGAATTTTCCTCGTGATAAACGTCATCTTTCAGCAGCTATTCTCCCTAGCTCAAATACAGTTACAAATTTGGTGGGACCCTCTATGCCAAATCAAAATCTAAGTGGCCCTGAGCTTATGCCAGTTGTTCAAAAAGGTACTGTTATTCCTCAGGTAGAAGAAAGGATTTTGTCTCGACCACAAGAGGCTACCGTTTCCAAGTCTTCTACTTTGTCGCAAAATGGAAAAAAAAAGAAAGAGTTACGTGATGAAATTAACAGGAATAAAAAGGCAGTTGCCTTATCTATTGTCCCAAAGAGTTTTAAGCAAAGGGCTAAGCCGTTCATTGCTTCGAGCTCGGCAAAAAAAATTTCAGCAATGGACATTAATGGCAGAAAGCCTCTTGTTCTCTCTTCTACATCATCTCCTCCACATGTGATAACTCCCTCAGATTCCGGTAAAAGGGAGGATGGAGTTGATATTTCCATAATAACGCATGACAACAAGAGTCCGGTTACTCTTTCCAGCTCGAAGGATGTTGAGGCTTCGAATGCTAGTTTGAGACCTGCTGATGTACCCTCGGTGATGCGGGATAGTTTTGATCTCCCCAAAGTCTAATGACAGGGTGTTTTTCATCCTTTCTCATTATTTTTTGTGGTTTTTTGATGAGTGTGTGTGTTTGGAATTGCAGGGGGGGCCGGAAAAAAGGGTTTTTCTCCCCTTATTAGGGACTTGTCTCGTCGTTTTAATATTCAAGTTATGGCTTTGCTTGAAACTCGTATCGGAGCTGACCGTGCTCAGAAGGTGGTGAAAGGCTTTGGCTTTCAAAAGCATGTTATGGCTCATCCTCAAGGTTTTTCTGGTGGTCTGTGGGTGTTATGGAATGATGATGAAGCTCAGATTCAGATTTTAGAGTCTCATCGTCAGTTTATCCATTTAAAAAATTTTTGGCGTAATAGGAGGAAGGAGGAAGCTGTTACTTTTGTTTATGCCAGTCCGCGGCGTCTTGAGAGGGTGTCTCTGTGGGATGCTCTAGGAAGGTTA